GCTTGGGCGGAGGGGGGGGAGAGAAAAAAGGCCGGAGGAAAGACTGCCGTGCTGAGTCTCCAGCTGTGGTGGTGTAGCCTAGTGGCTGTATTTCAAGACTTTCCCTGTGAATTGTAATTATTTTGGGGTGTGTTTTTCCCCCCTTTGAAGCACTCCAACACTTTTGATTATGGAGGTGTAAGGAAGCAAATTATTCTGATGGTTTTCTAATAAAAAGCGAACCTCCTCCCGCCTTCCGACCAATGAATGCAAAGGGTTAGGGTGACTGACAAGACCTCTCAGCTCTCCATTTCAATCCTTCTTATAGGATTCGTGTCGCTTCCTTTCAGTCACGCGTTTTATTTTGCTAAAATATTAAACTCTGCACTGTAAACTCCTTGCAGTAACGGATCCTCCCGGATCATGATTGTGTTTGCATGCGGCCTTTCCTCCAGAGAGCTTAAGGAGGCTGTGTCTGCATCTCTTCCTCTGGTTTTATGCTCACCTCTGCCCTGCGAGGTAGGCCGGGCTGTCGGAAAGGCTGACTGGCAAGCCAGCTCAAGGTCACCCCTTGAGTTTCAGGGCTCAATGAGGGCCAGGAACCTAAACGGCCTGTTCCCCATCTAAGATGTCCACCTCACACACAGAGCTCACTTATGTTCCGACTTAGAACAATTTGCTTCTGCAGAACCTCTCGGTCAATAAACCCAAGAGGTCTCTCAGAGGCAGTTCCCCCCCTTACGAAATTATTTCAGGTCTCCTAAAGCGGCTGAGATATTTCATCTCCACCTCACGTTGCAGAAGAAGGTGGTGTGTGTGTGTGTGTGTGTAGGGGGGACATCTTAGCTCTGAATCCTGAGATGGAGCGAAGGGTCGCCCACCAGACCCACGGCCCCTACTCCACCAAAGACGATATCTCTTGTACATCCGTTTTGGAAAGAATCTGGTTTCCTTCTTTAATCTCCTTTTCCTCTTTATCTGAAAATGCACTTCAGGGCCAAAAAATATATACGTTCCTCTGTCATGTCGAAGCAGGAGGCCTCGCAGATGGCCCTCGGATCACAAAGGCAGGAAGGAGGGAAGAAAAACGGGTTTTGTTTGGCGTGGTCTCTGGATTGCACTAAGGAGCAATTCCCCCCCCTCCTGCCCAACTCTCACTGCAGAGGGGGGGGCTTGCATCTGTATACGTTGGCTGCGGTTCATCACTTAGCCCCATTCTACTTCCTTGCCCCTCCTTGTCATGTGCAGAGTTCAGCCTGCCACCTTGGCTTCAGCATCCCGCACACCAAGGTCGTTGTGCCCGGCCTGCCTCTCCTAGCTGCCACCATGGCGATGCGAGCAGGGCACCGGGGGGGGGATAGCAGCCGTGGCAGCCGGCCATAACCATGGGGCCGGCCGGTCTGCGGAGGAAGGAAGCCGGACTGGAAGGAAGTGGACGCTATAAGAGGAGAGACAGTCATGGATGGGAAGAAGCCGGGAAGTCAGGAGAAACGCCAAACAGCTTTCTTGGAGGAAGATGGCGGGAATCCGAGCCAAATGGGGAAGCGTTGGGTTCAAACTGACAGGAATCCATGGCGACCCGAAGATTGGAACCCAGATCAAGGGCTGGGTCCCTTTTTTCACATCCTCTAATCCTGACTCTGAATGCATACACCACATTCCTTAGCAATTGACTCTATAAACATAAAAAAATAGGTTTTTCACTCACCGCGGATTGGAATATTGGGGTTCTTCAAAGTCACCTCTAAAACACTTTCGAATTCATGGGGTCCTTGAGACTAAAAGAACAGGCAGAGGAAAGAAAGAAAAAAACTGAGTGACCATTTCATTGGATTTTTATGTATTTATGACAGAGCAGTTCAGCTTTTCTGCAGGGAACGATTTCCAAAGGCAGGAATGGGAGGTTGACGGTGGATTGTGGAACAGACAAAATTCAAAGATAATTTGAAATGTGAATCCACACCCCTGCAAATTGCAAAATTCAAGGGTGTGGAAAGCAGATGGGCGAAAGCTGTCGATGCAGTTGTAAACTCCAATGCCATACAGGTGTTGTGGAAAGAGGAAGACAAAATCTTAACCCATTTCCCCCCCCCCCAAAATTAAGCCTCCTAAGGGAAATACGTATGAGCATCATCTCCAGCCATTAAAATGTCTGGAGTGCCACACAAGCAAACTCCAGGAAAAGAAAGAGGTGAGATCCAACAGGATATACACAAGAAATACCAGAAACATGTAGTTTTTGAGACTGTATGTGCCAGTTGAGGAGAAAAAAAGGGGGGTGGACTGTTCTGGGGGAACTTGCAGCTATTCTGCTCTGTGACTTGAACCAAAATTCTCCACTCTGCAACGAAACTCACCTCGCTGTTCACCCAGAGCCTGCAGACGAGAGTGGCCGGCGCCACAGACCACTGCTCCCCTGCGACTTTGTAGACGAAACTGAACCGATGGATCTTAGGGCTGGGCGAGGTGAGGAACTTCACCGCATAGCTCTGGGGCTTCCGCCTGGAAATCAGCAGCTGCGGGGACGCTTGGTGTGAGGTGTACAGAGAGCAATCTTCAACTTCCACCTCAGCCTCCTTGTTCGCAGTCCGGAGCGAGAGCTAATCAAGAGAGAAATGGAATAAAAACTTCCATCCTGGATGTTGAGACTCTGAAATTGACAAGTTCAGGACTTGGGGGTGTCCCTACAACCTTAGCTCTTAACTAAGGCCAGACACGATGAAATGAAACAAACACTGCTGGTTCGCTCAGTGATTTAAGGCTCTGGAGCCAGAGGTTAGGAGTTTGATTCCCCCCTGGGTCTCCTTGACAGGGGCTGGACTGGATGACCCTTAGGAGCCCCTTCCAGTTCTGCAGTTCTAAGAATATTAGCTGGCTGGGTTGCTCAGTGGTTGAGGTCTCTGGCTTTGGAGCCAAATAGGTTGGGAGTTTGTTTCCACCACCCCCCTGGGCCTTCTTAACAGGGGTTGGACTAGATGACCAAGAGGTTCCCTTTCCAGCTCTACCGTTCTAAGCCAATGGGGGTGATGATGAGAGACAAACACTGGCTGAGATCTCACTGCGAATCTCAAACATATATTGCACTGATTTGTTTGCAAATATCAACCAGCCACTGAGTTCTGGAGATTTTAAAACCGTGCACGGTCCTCTGTTTAAAACATTAAACCCAAAATGAAAAGCAGAATATTTATGATGTCCAAGAAACTGACAATGTAGGCTGGATTCCACAGGGAAGGCTTGCAAGAATGCAGCTACAACTACAGTCGGATTTTTGTAAGGGTGGACACTGGTCAGTTCAATTCACAACATAACTTCTTATCCTCTTCCCCTGAACCAAGATGCTATGAGCACATAAAATATTCCTTATGTGAAGATTCACACCCTCCTATACAGAGTTCCCGGCGACAATAACCGTGCAATAAGAAGATACTGCACAACTGTACGTCTCAAAGCACTGACGCCAGCAGATAATAACAAGTTTTAAATATTATACAAAACTATATTTAAAAAAAAATTAACCATTCATCAAGATTGGAAATGTTGACAAAAACTCTTTTAAAACGTTTTAAATAAGCAAAATATTTGTCTTTATTATTTTCCTGTCTTTAGCTGCAAAGGTCCGATTTCCAACTTAAAAATTATATATTAGCAAACCACAAATATCTGTAGTTTTTTTAAAAAATTGCTCGAGGTGCCTGTGTTGTCTGCAGCCTTGCTAAATGTCTAAGAGTGCTGTGACACCATGAAGGCTAACCAGTTTTTACTAGCGTTAAGTGTTTCTGCACCCACTGCCTCCACTCTGCCTCCCTTTGCCCTGTGCTTCTGCACCCACCACCCACGTCATCATCCTCCGGGCAAGGAAGTCAAGGTACCTGGACGTAGGTGGCTTCGTTGACTCTGATCACAGTCGTCTGCGTTGAACTGAAATCTGGCGTGGGATAAAGCTGGAGGAAAACTTTCTCCGGGAGAGTGCATTCGAAAGGAACCTTTGAACAGAGAGAAAAGGAAAACCTCAAATAACTGTGGTTATATTATCGCCTGTTTTCCTTTCTCATCAGCCCCGGGGTCCCATCGTTTGAGGAGCAAAACGGGGTTACCCATCTTAAAAGTTTCTGCACTCATTGAAGGAAAAGACTCTGTGTTTTCAGGGTCGCATCCAGCACACCATTTTGACCACCAGTCCAGCTTCATCAGTTGCTGGAGCTAAGGGTCAGGTTTGGTTAATGCTTAGATTGGCGGAGAGTAAAAATGATTTCCAGGCACAGCCAGGGATGGATCCTGCCCAAAATGTTTGTATTGCTCCAAGCTGGAAAAACCAAGCTTGACGGTGTTTTTTTTCTAAGTACACAGAAACACATCTACGAATGCATTAAAATACTTTCCGACCTCCCACGACATCCTTAACTTCCCTGATCTACCGAATCTCAAAGGTGTCTTTTTTTTGAACTACGGCTCCCATCATCCTTCCAGCCAGCTCTTAAAATGGGTTTCTAGGCTGAATCGGATCCTTTTAAATCCATATTTGTTAAAGAAGCATTTTGAATAGCCCAGTCTTCCCTAGCACGATAGGGTGTGATCACACACTCTACTGTTGCCCGCCCCCAGGTGGGACGGCCCATGATAGCTGGGGAAGATGGGGATTGTAGTTCCGGACAGCAGCACAGGCCAGTTAGAAGAGAGGAGTCTAAAGCTAATCAAGGGATGGACTCCGTGTTGATGCGTTATTGACATGGAAACGGAGAAAAGGAGGCGCACGGGTGTTGAACCGGACATGTAAACCTTCTTACCGTTACTTTTTCTGTAAGCGGAGCCAGGCTGAAGACCAGCTGGAGGGGTGAAGAGCAAAGAGAGAGAGAAACAGAACGTAAACACTTTGCAAGCGCAAGATAGGCACTGCTTGGCAATGGAAGCTCATCGTCCGGTGACCTTGGCCCTTTGGCTCTCCTTCAAGGGCCATTGTAAGGCTGAAAGTGTGGGGTGACAGGCTGGTGATGAGTGGGGAGGAACTATATCAATCAACCTCAGAGGTCCAGGAGTTAAAATGTTGTATGAGGACCGGGGAGGTCCGAGTTCAAATCCTCACATGGCCATGGACCTCTTTGGGTGGCCTTCGGGCAAGCCCATCTGCTCGGCTTGAGCTACCTTATAGGGCTGTTGTGAAGGCAAAAGAGGGTGGGGAAGGATACCAGCTTGAGCTCCTTGGAGGGACGCCAGGGTATCAATACAACGAAACCAACAGCTTCGTAAGCCCCAGGAATGGGTCTCCGCCCGCAAAGCGCTTACAGTCACCGAAAGAGGAGAGGGCAGGATTTCATTTTTAAAAGAAAGGCATGGGATTCATAAATAAAGGGGAACCGTTGAGCTTGTTAAAAGGGACGTCAAAGATTTCTGTCCTGACCTTGTTCTTGGCCAGGACGCCGCCTTCCACGGCGGTGGAGCAGCTTTCCAACAGGCTTTTCAAGACAAAGTGGGTGGAATTGTCGGTGGTTTTGCAGCTGGCGTCCTGCAGCGTGACTTCGCTGACTTGCAGCAAACTCTGTAAATGCTAGAGGGGAAAAAAGCCACCAGGCGAAACAGCAAGGCGGGACGTTAAGAGAATAGTTTATTTATGGCCTTGATTCAAAGAATTCTATGCACTCTTTCCCAAAACACCTCTGGAAACAACCCTACTTAAAGTAGTGTAAAATGTTGTTGTAACACATCCGTTAAAGCCATGTATTAGCAGCCAGGAGAGGTCACCTCTGACAGCCAACACGCTGCAGATCCCAGGTTGTCTTCAAGGGCAGCCCCAAATAGAGTGTGTTGCAGTAGTCTGGATCCCCCCGTGTGTTTAAGGGTGGTGTATAATTTGAATCTCTCATGACACACAGAGCCTGGCTGATCAACTCACCTTCAGGGAGTCCTTGGGCAAAGCGATCTCCATGGTGTTATCCAAACATCTCCACGGCTGGCATTCGGTTACCAGATTCTGGATCATCTTAATCAGGCTCGGGGCTTCTGTTGGAGGTTTGGACACCGCCTGTTTTGTCGATCCTGCCAAGCGGAGCATCGAGAGGCGCATTGGTTTTGAAAAACATAAAAACATCATCATCATCATCATCAGAGCGGAGCATCGAGAGGCGCGTTGGTTTTGGAAAACATAAAAACAGCGCCTGCGCCTTCAGCTGCCCCCAGGCTGAAGTTCAAGCCCAAAGTACATTTAATTGAAGTTATTTTTTTTCAAAGGCCCTTTTGGACTGGGTGCTAGTTGGAGAGGTCAGTGGTTTAGGCTGCCAAGCCGGAGGTTGGGGGGTTCGATTCCCCCCCACGGGTCCTCCTGGGAGAAGAGCCAGCCTGGGTGACCTTGGGCAAGTTGTACAGTCCCAGAATGCACCCCAGAACAAGGGAATGGTAAATTTTTATGAGTCCAAACAGGGTTTATATATATTTAAAAAAACATAACAAGAAATTGTTGTTGTGGGTTTTCCGGGCTGTTTGGGAAACCCACAACAACCATCGGATCCCGGCCGTGAAAGCCTTCGAGAATACATAACAAGAAGCCGATAATCCAGCCGAACACAACAAAGTTCTCTGCTAACTTTTGTAGGGATAGAAGAACTGTAAGTTGCTTCTTTAAATGGAATTTGCAAACTCAGGTGGCTCTTTCCAGGTTGGCGGAGCTTTCATTACACCGTCGGCTGTAGGTCGCAAGAAAACCCTGGGCCGCTCCGGCTTTTGCCCCGACAGGGAATATAAGAAGCCGATAATCCAGCCGAACACAACAAAGTTCTCTGCTAACTTTTGTAGGGATAGAAGAACTGTAAGTTGCTTCTTTAAATGGAATTTGCAAACTCAGGTGGCTCTTTCCAGGTTGGCGGAGCTTTCATTACACCGTCGGCTGTAGGTCGCAAGAAAACCCTGGGCCGCTCCGGCTTTTGCCCCGACAGGGAATATCCCCCACCCCACCCCGATGCTGACAGAGGGCAAAACTCTGGCTTGAAATTGGACTGACTCACCAACACAGTCCTGGACCAGCTCCAGGGTGAGGCTTTTAGCGGAGGGGACCTCTGTGAACGAAGCAATGGATGCAAAGTCTTTGCCATGGGCCGCTTGGATCAGGCCTTCCTCGCTGGCCGGCAGCTGTTCGCCTTCCAGTTCTGGGGAATTGAACATCTTAAGGGAGTACTTCCCGGATACCTGGCAGAAGGTGGAAGGAGGGGACATTCCGTGAGAAGTTCCTTTGGAAGCCAACCTTCTGAAAAGGAGATTTCTCTTTAAGGTATCCCATTTGGTTTCTTAACCCTCCCCTGCCTGGTAGAGCCTGTGCATTTTGTGATGGGTAGAATTGTCCACATTTGTCTGTTTCCTGCCTCTCCTGAAGGGATGAGATGTCCACCCCTTGTAAAAAGTGAGAGCCACCATGTCTAGTCCCCAGCTAGGGGATGTTGAGGGCCCTTTTGTGTGTGTGTGTGTGTGTGTGGGTACTGAAAGTCCATAAATCTGTTCCAGGAACTATCTAAAGTGCTGAAACGTATCCACCAACAAACGCCACCCCCTCCGGCACAAATTTTAGCTCCTTGGTAGATCCTTCAACGCTCGACCCCTTGGCAAAATCAGAGTCACCCACCTGTCCGAGAGGTGCCAGCTATGAAACACACCGAGAAACCCATCTACAACGCCAGCCCATCAACCCTGCGCCCGGCCGAGAGGCTAAAACACCTGCCGGCACACCCACAACCCATTCCATCCACTCACTGAACACCAGACCAAGGGAGAAACCAACAACCCACGAACCTCATAGCCCAAAGTCCAGCTGAACACTCTGGCCACCCTCTTGAACCCGCCCGAAGGCCAGCCCACCCACGTAGGAAGTGACTCCCCTAAAAGTAGGATGGGATTTCCCTCCGTCCCTTTACCGCTAGTTTGATGGTGCCTGGCATCTGTCCAAAGCTCCAGAGAAGACGGTCGTGGCTTTTGAGGACCAGCAGCATCTCAGGGAGGGTCGCCGAGGTTCCTGCTCTGCAGGTGACTTTTATATCCACCCCCACCTCTTGTTTCCTGAAAAACAACGGAAGGGATTTAGCGCCAAGGCTGAGCGTTGAGCTGGGTTCAGCTTCCACCTGCGGTTCAAACCTATTGCTTTGCTACCTCAAAGGGGACTTCTTATTTGGTTCTAGGTTTGCTTTGGGAATTTTGGGGTGCCCCTGACCTCAACATCATCAACAGACGTCTTCCATCAGCAGCAATTTGCCACTGCTGGTGGTTCTATTCTTGTTGTGCCTGCAAAGCTGTGCCTTGGCCAAGGAAATTCCTCACATGTCCCGAAAGCCAGCCAGGAGCTCCGTGGTACAGCCCCAGGTTCGATTCCCTGCATCTCCAGCTAGGGCTAGGAAAGGATCCTATCTCAAACCCTGGATGGCTGTTGCTGCCAGTCAGAGCTGACAATACCAGCTAGATGGATCCAGTGTTGTTATAATTTGCATCACTGACGGACACAAGACGGATCGGAAGGAAATTACCCAGATTCTGGTGGAGGCTGCTTTAGCCATAGGATATGGGCTTCTTTCTCATGGTGTCCACCAGGGGGCAAACAGCTCCTGATATTATGGGATGCAAAACTGGCTTCCAAATATTGTTTGGCGTCGAAATCTCTCCCAGGAACACAATCCTCGTTGGAGCTGAGCACTAGAAAACATGAAAGAGGAGATGCCAGCCGTCACACACTCAGCTATAATTTCTTGAAGATCTTGGAAAAGTTGCTGTCGTCATCATTCACCATTATTTCTCAGCAGCCACAGGTTAATTTTTATGGTAACTTGTTGAATTACTTTCCCCTTATCCAGAAGGACAGAAAAATACAGGAAAACACTTTCTGACCCCCCTTGAGCGGCAGCATCTAACACTGGGCCTTTAAAATGTAAAGGACAAAAATTACTTCCCTTGCTACTTAACATGATCAGGACAATTGATTCAAAATTGGAAAATTGCAGTCAAAATCACTTTTAAAATGTGACTTCCAAAAGTAACTCAAAAACACGATTCATTGAGCTCAAATGTAATTTTGCAACTACTTTTTAAATTACTGTACCTCTAAAGTGTAACTTAACTATATCCCCATTATCCCAAAGGCAACTAATTACATTCCCACTACTTTTCCCGAAGGTAAATAATTACATTACAGGGACTTCCGAGTTGAAAGGAATTCTGGGATCTGTTGTTCAAAGCATTCAAAAATACATTTTCGCTTCCTTCCCGCTCCCTATCACATTTCGATGAAAAGATGCAGTCTTAAGGGCAACTGACCTTTGCCTACATGAAAATTAATACTCTCTGGGGTTTCCAATTCAGCGAAAGACGAGACACCCCCATACTCGGCTTTGGCCCAAGCAAGGAGATCATGACTAGACGACGTTGGTTTGATGCTGTTGATTTCAGCGCCGGTGGCATTAATGTGACCATTGCTGACCGCCTAGGAAAGAAACACAGAGCAGTATGATGATTAATGGAGCATGCCTACTGGGTGATGTTAAGAGCTGGAGGAGGAGGGAGGCCTGCAGGGAGCCAGCCTCCGTTTTGAGGGTAGACTTTAGAGCAACGGTGCCCGACCTTGGTTCCCCAAGATGTTTGTGGACTACAACTCCCAGAAGCCTTCCCCACAAGCTGTGCTGTCCAGGATTTCTGGGAATTGTAGTCCAAGAATACCAGGGATCCAAGAGGCAAATTCAGGACATCTGGACGGCTTGCTTTTCCTCCTTGGGAAGTCCCTGCTCCGTTGGGTCGGTCTGCTTCCTTTCATCCCCTTCCCTAGAGCGTGTCCAGGAACACAAACCGGAGCTTACAGGATTTGGGTTGTGTGTGTGTGTGTGTGTGTGTGTATCAGAAGGAAGCAGGAAATCTCTGTCATTGCATAATTACTAGAAGCTATCACTAACGATTCTTCATGGCACGCTAAGGGGCTCGCTGGGCCACCTAGCAGCTATAGCTGTATTTTTGGAATTTATATTTATATCTGGTTTAACTCTCGTAGGACAGAGAAAGAGGAGGATGGATTGTTCCTTCTTGACCCCACCACGGAGGCCTCAACAGGACAGAAAAGGCAAAAGGAAAGGGGAAAGAGTCCGGGATGGCGGATCAAAGTGGTTTTATAGCCTCATACATACATACATACTTTATTATTACAGCATCAAGACATACAGAAAGCAACATTGAATGCAGAGCTTCAAGTACTGACATATACAGTGGTGCCTCGCTAGACGATGCTAATCCGTTCCACTGAAATCGCTGTCTAGTGAAATCATTGTCTAGCGAAAAGCAAATCGTCGTCTAGCGAAAATCGGTTTGCGAAGCAGGGACCAAACATTGTCGAGCGAAATTCCCCCATAGGAATCACTGTTTTGTGAATCACTATAGTGATCGCAAAAAGTCAATGTCTAGCGAAAAAACTGTCATGCGGGGTAACTGTCTAGTGAGGCACCACTGTACTGCAAAAAGTCAAACCAAATAAACAAAAAGCAATAAAACTACAAATAGAACAATAAAAGACCAATGTCTAAGGGTTTGGCGATCTATTCTGGCTACTATGGCATGCCGGCCAAAATGTCCCTACCAGTTCTGCAGTAGTCCGATTTTGATCAATTAACAATTGGTTACAGGTAGTCCGAGTCTGATTGGCTTGTCATGTCTTTTAAGAGAGGTGTAATATATATTTCCTCGAATCTTGTTATGCCTGTTTCATCTCATTCAATAGATTCTATTTATTTTTATGTATGTATTTATTTATTCTATTTATATCCTGCCTATCTGGTTGATATGACCACTCTAGGCAGCTAAGCTATTCTAGGTTTTATAGCCTATTGTTGTCTGCGGTGGGATTTGAGCCCCCCCCAAAAAAACCCAGGCGTCGACAATCGACCCAGCGAGGTTGGCCGGGTTCAAAAGGGCATGCTTTGAAGGACCGACTGGACCCCCCACCCAGAACATTGAAAATGGCGTCCATCGTATTTTGAAATCTCTATTGAAAACAAACAAGGCACATTTGTGTGTGCGCGTGTGTGAAAGAGCTTGGGGAAGTTACTCTTTTTTGTAATACAACTCCCATGCTCCCCCCTGCGAGCCTGGCCTTTGGAACTGCTCTCTCCAAAACTAACTTTCCAAAGTTATATGCTGGAGTTACTGATCAGGATAACTCACTATGGCTCTGATCTATTTTACTTCGGTGCCGGAGAGTTGTCAAACTATCAAACATCCAACGTTTGGATCCTTTCCCTTCCCTTTTCTTGATGGGGTTGTGACTGAATCGCTCTCTCGGCTCAAAAAAAGTTATATATATTTTTTTTAAAAAAATGGAAAACGAACCGAATCAAATCTGCACTAGCCAACTCTTGTGGCCGAGAGCCAACGGGATCGGTGTGAAAACAGGTCGGTAGTGAAACAAAAATGGATTCGTCAAGCAACTCAAGCGAATTCAGAAAGGCTGGCGAAACAAAACAAAAAAAATCATCATAATGAGAACCATGCCTGCTTTCACAGCAACTTCACAAAGTCATTGATTGGACAGGAGGAAGGTTGTTGTCTAATTACTAGAAATAATCAGTAATGAGTTAAAGCAACGAGAACCGCAAATCGCTACTCAAACAACCTGTTGCCGTTCGACCATTAAAACAATGGATTTCAAAACCATCATGAATCATCATTCATTTTGAATGCATTATTTTTTTCAGCTCAGGGTTGGAAATATAACGTCTTTCATGGGTTTAGAGATTTCGGAGAGACTTAACCATCATGAATCATCATTCATTTTGAATGCATTATTTTTTTCAGCTCAGGGTTGGAAATATAACGTCTTTCATGGGTTTAGAGATTTCGGAGAGACTTGGTTTAGGGATCCATAAGGTTGTTCACTGATGTCAGTTTTGTAATCTTAAATTCAAATCATCCTCCACTTTAAAAATTCTTCCACTTATACTCATGCCCGTACGACTTGCTGACCTGTTTTAGGGCAATGTCCCACTTTTTAATTTTCAAACCATGAGGTGACCATGCACCCTATTGGTCTCCGTTTTTGTGCGAATTTTTGACCCACGAACTCTGTTGGAACGTGAAGCAAAGTGAGAATTTTGAAGGGTGGCCGAATTTTTGTTGATCTCTTCGAAAAGTGTACAATTATGTAAAACCAAATGTATTCCATTTGCTATAGAAGCAGTGTTTCTCATTTCCCCCTTTCTTTCTTTCTTTCTTTCTTCTTTCTTTCTTTCTTTCTTTCTTTCTTTCTTTCTTTCTTTCTTTCTTTCTTTCTTTCTTTTTTAAATAGCGTAGGTTCTCGGGCTGCCCTTACAGAACAATTTCGACAGGGAAGGCTGAATCAGCTTAGCGCCCCAGAGGGGTTTCCCCAGACCTCATGGTGGCCTCCTCTTACTTGTCACTGCCCGTAATCTGTTGGCAACTTTGCCAACCAACGCAACCAGGGAAGGACCATGCATGTGACTAAGAGCCAGGCCGGCTCTGCCGCTTACCCTTCGGACCTCACGCTTGGCAGAGAATGGAGAGGTCAAGCCGGCCGGGGGCAACCAGCATGAACGAATGGTGCCACACTAGATCAGATAGCGCCCCCCTCTTCCTGCTTCTATTGTAGGCTTTTATTATTATTATTATTAGACACAAATAGGGCGAATGGTGCCACACTAGATCAGATAGCGTCCCCCCTCTTCCTGCTTCTATTGTCGGCTTTTATTATTATTATTATTATTAGACACAAATAGGAAAAGCTTTTTTGGGGGGGGGAAATATTTTGTTAACACAGCACCACAGATGTACTTGAGCCGTCTGGAGCCAAGGGACTGACCCCTGACCTTATTCAAGCCGCCGGTGTGTCAGAGGACAGCCGGCGGCTGAGATCCTCAGCCGGAGGAAGCGAGAGCTACTGGGGGGGCCCTACCCCGGCCCTTGGAAAAGTTCCTTTTGTCCAACACAAGTCCCAGAATGTCCCACTAGAGTAGTGGTTCCCATCCTTAGGTCCTTGGACTACAACTCCCAGAAGCCTTCACCACCAGCTGTGCTGGCCAGAACAAGAACATCTGGGGGGTCCAAGTTTGGGAACCGCTGCACTAGAGGAAACGAAGTTTCTGAGACCCTAAATGGAGCTTAGAGGTATTATTTTCCCACCTTCCTCACCCTGACCATATATAATTTCCTTGTTCTGTGGTGGGTCCCCATAAAAAGCTGGTGGTGTTTTGCACGAGAGGTTTTAGAAACACAGCATGCTGCTTTCTACTTTTCAATCCAGCTTTAGCATTAACAGCGGGGGGTGGGGGAAACCAGCTTTACTCTAGAGCTATGATGCATTTCTCTCCGTTATTGACATAGCTTTATTTATCTGAAATTAGCTGGCACAAAGCAGGTGAGAATTTTGCAAGCCAAGACTGGCCAAAGCTCCCTTATCTGAGATAAAAAGAAACTCAGGTTTGTTTTGTTTGTTTTTGAAAAATGAGAATGCAGGAGAAATAAAACTGCCACCTCTAGTCCAGATTATTGATTAGATTTATTACTGCAGAAAACAGATTGTTTTGCTTTTTCATCTATCTGTAACTTGTCTGTGCGCCTCTTCCCACCCCACAGATCATAACTCCATGCCAGCCCCCACCAGTGCCCGAAGGAGTCAGCCTTGGGGGTCAGTACTCTTCCACCCATTCTGGAAGCTTGTCATCATCCTTCAGCTACCAGAGCGCTTGGAATTTGGGAGATACTTCCCCCCGCTCTGGAGAGTAAGGGGACAAAAATCTCTGGGGAGTCAAGCATGATGGCTCACAGGCTATCTGGAGGATGGCTCCAGATGTTTCCAGCTGGGGATGCCAGGAGCCAGACAAAGAGAGACAGGAGAGAAACTGAAGATTTGAAGCCTATCATGTCAAAAAAATAAAAATAAAAATAAAAAAGATAAGAAAAAAGAAAAAACAAAACATCAAAAACTGTGTGGCACCTAGAAGACTTTTATATTTTTAATGTGAGCTTTTGTGGATCAAATCCACTTCCTCGAACACAACTGTGGGACTACGGAGGGGCAAATTTTCAGAGAAGGGAGAGACGGAAGGAAAGGAAGAAGGGGCAGGACTGCATATCAACAAAATACAGAACATCATCATGCCAAACGCCATCTTGTACGGCAACGTGTGCAACAATTAATCCCCATTCATGCCAGATCTTAGCAATGTTCGTTTTTGGGACTGCGTACAACATAGAATTGGCAGTCAAAGGGCTCTTCAACACCTCCCTGAAAAACTGCACCCCAAACCCCTTCCCGAACTATAACTCCCAAGATTCGATAGGATTCAAGTGGGACCAAAGTGCCCCTAATTAAGTAGAGGAGATCAAAGGTGTGAATCCTCCTTTAGTTTGTCCTCGTAAAGAAGGGCGAGGAGCGGCAATTTTCCTCTCTTTGCCCCGGTGGACTTTGCACATGTTTGTGAGATGAATGTTTTGTCCGCAAACAAATAAACAAACCCCAAAACAAAACAAAAACTGTCAATTTTTGTGCTGAAATTCCATTCCGCTAAATGCACAAGGAATTACTTGGAGCGCTGGCTCATTCTGCCTTATGGTACGCCTGGCCCTACATTCAGTCCATCATCATCATCCTCATACGCCACAAAAGATTTTGCTCACAGATCGGCAAGAGGAAAAACAGGCCAGGTACTCACAAATGACAGAGGAAGTTGATGGTCCTCCATATTTACTTTCCAAAAGGCATACGTCACAGAGTTCAGTACAAACACCGTTTTCCGGTTTCTGGCTGCGGCGGCTACATTCAGATTGAGCTGGAGAATAGATAGCTGTGAAGGGGAAAAGAGGGGAGAATCAGTCATGTTTCTCAAAAGAAAGAGAGCACGGATAGCTGAGGGTTTCAGGGTCTCTGGCTGCAGAGCTAGCGGTTGGGAATTCGAATCCCGCACTGTCTCGCTTTGACAGGGGCTGGACCTGATGATCCGTAAGGTCCCTTCCAGCTCTGCCGTTCTAGGATTATTATAATAATATTATTATTATATTTCACCCTCTGCAGTGAGTCTCAAGGGGGGAGGCGATGACAGGATGACAGCTGACAACATGCGTGAGAAGGCTTTTCCTATATAACCAACAAAATAATTTTGAAGTGCAGCTTTTCTGGAACCACATTATTTTAAGTTTTAGACTGCTAACATCTTCTTTTTTGCCGTGCGTTTGCCCTGAGATCTCACAGCGGACAACCGGACAGGAAGAGTCTAAACCAAGAAATAAAAACGAAGAAAAGAGGTCTCTAGCGTAACCTTTCACACAAGAAGCTAGTTTTCTACATGCAGGGAAATTGTGTGATGTCACGACTGGGGCCAATACGAGCATGCCATGAAGCACTTCCCACTCCCTGCCACGCAGCTAGGGGCTAAAGGAGGGCCGTGAAGCGGAAGGTTGTCTTCCTCACTGAGGACTAGACGCATGGCCTCATTTGCTCCCTGGTATCCAAACAAGCCTCTCAGGGAAGAAAATATCAGCAAATATATAGAGAAGAGGGATCTAAGTCCTCCCCACAACCGCTCCATCAACACCGCCCCCACATTGAGGGCATGAGCGCATTAGTAAATACGCTGACCGGGTTTTGCATCTATTTTTAACCCTGGCCTTTTTCATAACCCATTGTTTCTCCTTCCAGGACGGCGGCAGCCTTTTTTCTTTCTTTTTTTTCTTTCCAGGCCTCCTCAAGCGCAGGGTGCTGCTTATAGAAGCCAGCTTCCAGTAATTCTTTTTCCGCTGGAGACTGGTCAGCCTGGCTCGGCCGTTCCTCCCCCGGCCGCCCGGTTGGGGCCAGGAGCCTGTTGTCTGAATGCCACAGTCATGACATCACAAGCCGGCTCCTGCGAACCTCCTCAACATCTCCTCGTGTGTAAACACTGGCGGCGGCGGTGGGGGGGGTCAGGTTTGCCCCCTTCCTGTCCACAGACGGGATAAAACAAATCTTATCCCCGAGGCATCATTACGGACCCAACCGTATCCGGACTCGCTCATGTCGCCACCCTGATAACCCTTCGCCCTGCGCCACATCCGTGGCACCATATCACTGGACCGGTTTTCCCAGCTTCCCTGCCTCTCAGATTGTTATTATTTTATCAGTTAGACTTATTATTATTTATTCATAGTTGTCTTCTTTAATTACTTTTTTAAAAAGGTGCCACAGATACGGCGGTCTTGGTGGTCAGCGGCCTGTAGTATAATTTGTCGCATCCCTGGACCCCAACGGAAAATAGACGCTAGCAAAGAATCCAGGGTTGCGTCCGCATTTTGTTGTGGCAGAGAAAGGCATCTCCCCGGTTTAGAAAACGCCTCGGCGACCAAGTGCCATTCCAGCGGAAATGGCTAAGAAAGAAGAAAAAGCCAAGTGTTTGTGACACAGCTGGGTTGTGTGTGTGTGGGGGGGGGAATGTCAGTTTGTGGGTCCCAGAAAGCCGACGCGGCTCACTGAGATCTCCAGATCTCATGAAAAGCACACATCGCACCGTGTCCCAGAACATTAAAGGCTCGCCACCCTGTCTCCCCCTCAGACGGTACACAATAAGGAACATAAACATCACACCCAGGCCTTCGAAACAAAGCTCCAGAGGAAATTCTAAAGCCAGGGCCCCCGGACTGGTGTGTCTGGGCAAGTTGTGTTTGTTTCTGTGGGACACAAAGAGAGGGTGCTCAGCGACGAGGCTCCCGACTACGCAAGGGGCGCTTGGGACCGCTGCAAAGGGTTATGATTTTTATGCACCCTGAAAGGCAGAGATTGGCTCTCAAATGTCCTCACTTTGATCCGAAATAGATTAGCCAAGATTGTCCACCAAAGCTGGGAAGTCATCATTTGGAAGTCGTTTGTTGTTGTTTAGTCGTTAAGTCGTGTCCGACTCTTCGTGACCCCATGGACCAGAGCACACCAGGCCCTCCTGTCATCCACTGCCTCCCGGAGTTTGGTCCAATTCATGTTGGTCGCTTCGGTGACACTGTCCATCCATCTCCTCCTCTGTCATCCCCTTCTCTTGCCTTCACACTTTCCCAACATCAGGGTCTTTTCCAAGGAGTCTTCTCTTCTCATGAGATGGCCAAAGGACTGGAGTCTCGGCTTCAGGATCTGTCCTTCCAGTGAGCACCCGGGGTTGATTTCCTTCAGACTGGATAGGTTTGTTCTCCTTGCAGTCCAGGGGACTCTCAAGAGTCTCCTCCAGCACCACCATTCAAAAGCATCAATTCTTCAGTGGTCAGCTTTCTTTATGGTCCAGCTCTTACTTCCATACATCACAACAGGAAAAAACATAGCTTTGACTATGCAGACTTTTGTTGGCGAGGTGATGTCTCTGCTTTTTAAGATGCTGTCTAGGTTTGTCATAGCTTTCCTCCCAAAAAGCAGGAGTCTTTACATTTCGTGGCTGCTCTCCCCATCTGCAGTGATCATGGAGCCCAAGAAAGTGAAATCTGTCACTGTCTCCATATCTTCCCCTTCTATTTGCCAGGAGGTGATGGGACTAGCGGCTATGATCTTAGCATGTGCTAAATGCAGGTTTATTAGCCATATCCATCACTATGCTAACTTTCTCTCTTGTGAACTTTCTTTGGATGCACCAGTAATGAAACTAAGGCTGTCATGCTCCATGAACGTCATAAGCAGACAAGATTGGCTGGAAAAGACAGTCTTGCTAAGAAACGCTGAAGGCAGCAGGAAAAGAGGAAGGCCAAATATGAGCGGGAACGACTCCCTAAGGAAGCCACAACCTTGAGTTTAAAAGAGTGAGGGCAGGACATTTTGGAAGCCAGTCATTCATAGGGTTGCCATAAGTGGGAGGTGACTTGATGGCAGATACCGAAAACAATGCCAGTTTAAATTTAATAACCAATAACGAATATCTTGCTTCATCCCATATACATTAGATTGTTAATCTAGGAGGTGGAGACCATGTTACAATGATCAAAGGCTTAAAGAAGTTCTTCCAAAACTTGGAAAAGTTCCTTCTTTGGACTACAAACCCCATGATTCCCCAACCATGCTGGCTGGAGAATTTTGAGAAGTCTGCCCCCGCCCCCCTCCAAAGTGACTTCTCCCCCAGCTTCTAGCATCCTCTGTTCTCCTCGGGGCTACGATGGGATGCTTTTAGGAGAAAGTTTGGGACCAAACCAAACTCTGTAGTGATGACTAGGTTTTACTTTCATCTGGGATTTAAAAGGGGGAACTGGTGATGGTTGGCAAGGCCCAAATCCATGACTGCATCTGTTGTGTTTTCCGAAACAGCTGCATGCCCCACATGCTCCCAGAGACGTCCCCTTCCTTCCTTCCCTAAAGCAGCCAGCAGCTGCAAAGAGAAATAAATGTACAACATTTCAGCTGTCCGGAATAATACAAATTTAGAAAAAAAAAAGCTTGTAAATTTCACTGCCAGGGGAAAATGCCATACGGGGGTGGAGGAAAAGGAAAGACACAAGCAAGAAAACTGCAATAAACTGAACATCTGTTCTGTAAAGGTCAATAAAACGTTTAAAAAGAGGGCAGAGAGGGATCCAGCCCCATAGACACCCCCCCAAATTAATGGCAGAAATAAGCAAATGTTAGAATAAACCATGCATTTAGCACACACCTCTGCATCATGCGGCATCTTTATGTGTTCATAGATTTAAGATTCTGGAATGGGGGCAAAACACACTTACATTGCTTCTTAAGGCAGCCCTGCTTCTAACTGCAAAGCTGCCCGCCCCTTGATTCCGGTCCTAAAACTACACAACAGGTTGAGACGAAACATTTGGAACCGCAGCCTCCCAAATGGTGGTCCGATCCTGGGGACCCCTCCGCCAAGAGACATGGGGGGCCTGCAGAATGCGCAGGGAACAGAACTCACCCTCCACTATTTTTTGGCACAACCCCACCCACCCCGCCTTGGACAGCAGCCTGCTCCTAAAAAATAGAAAGGCGATGCAGGATTTGCCCGTTGGTACCTCGATGGCCTCACCTTGGATGTGTTCAAGTAAAGGACGTGGACGTCGAGGTCTTCCGGACCCCGGCTTGTGCATCCGCTGGTGACCTTGCTGGTTGTATAGAGGACTTTGGTGTCTCTGTTTTCCGTGAGCGGCTGTAGAGTGCAGCTGGGCATCGTCGCTGGACCTGGGATTTTAAAAAAAGCACCCTGAGGTCAGGCACTTGCGATTCCCCCATCTCAAGAGGAAGGAAAGGCCGTACGGAAGGCCCATGATGGGCATTCGGAGTTAGGACAGAGCACGAGAACGGCACGAAGAAGCTGTGAATTGAAGGAGAGGGTGTTCCTGAGATCGTGCGGAGTGACAGAGAGTCAGACCCAAATAGCCTTTCTGTGCACAAACCACAAAAATGCAGAGGAACAAAATCGACTCTGGTGGAAGTCCTTATTTACATTACCAAAGCCTAATAATGACATTTCTACCAGTGAGGTTTCCATGGAGCCTCTCTGTCACGCTGTTTTTGTTAAAATGTTGTTATAGTCAATGCAAAAGATAGCGGAGGGGTGTTTTTAAAAGAAATATGTTTGCTTGCTTGTTTCTTTTCTGCTTCGCCCACACCACACTGGGTTGCAACAAGGACATATATTATGCATTGTGCTTTTTTTGTTTTGCTTTTAAAAAATAAAATTAAAGTCAACTTCCTCTAAGTCGCCACATGTGCTGCATGGCGTTCGGATCTAAAACTGGGATGTCCTGGGGCCATTCATCTCCGCTGGGATGGGAGAATCTTTGCCTCTAATATTTGCATGAGGGGGTGCGGGGGGGTAGAGAAAGTAAGGGAAGGAACCTTGAAAACTCTGTGTTTTGAAGAGCTAAAATCCAAAAGCTTCAAAGAAGGCAAGCAAATCAAGGAGAAGTCTGCGTTTCTAGAATCACCCGGAGGAGAGCAGAGCAAAACCCCAACTTGAAAAGCCAGTCAAAATAAAAACAAGAATAGAAATAAAATTGAAGTAGAATAGAAATAGAATTGAAGTTGAATAGAAATAGAATTGAAGTAGAATTGAAATAGAATTGAAATGAATTTGGAACAGAAAGGAAAGAAAATTGGAATAGAATTAAAATAAAATTGGAACAGAACAGGGAAAAGCAAGCATCAAGAACTGCCTATTCTAGAATTTGGGAAAGTTACTTCAGGGTCCCTGACTTTGCTTCCTTGCGGTTCTTTCTCCTCAAACTGGATCAGGATTGAACGGCACTTTTGAGTGTAGACGACTCTGAACTTGAGCACCCTTTCAAATGGGGGGGGGCTGTTGTCCTGAAAAGGGCACATAGGGCCACTTCAAGCACCCCAGACAGTTAAAAGGCTGACTAGATATCTCAACTGTGTAAATCTCTGGAGTCAGCGGCTGTGAGTTCGATTCGGGTGTTACAAACCCTCCTCTTTAATATATATTGAAGAGGAGGGCTTGTGATACCCGAGAAGACAAATTTATTCAGGCGGAAGGAGGAGAAGGCCGGCCGGGATGCGGGGGGATTCCTGTGGTGTCCCTCGCTCTTCAGGTCACGGCCTCGGCTGCTTCCATGACGTGGCCTCCTTGAGCCCTCCATTGTCCCGCATTTCCTCCGTGGCCCACCCTGGGACAAACCCCGCAGCCGGCCGCATCCAGGAGGAAGTCGGAGAGCGGCTTATCTGGCCGCCACAGCCCGCGTCACCCTTCCCTTTCTGGGGCCGACCCCACAACGGCTTGTCTAGGGAAACGTCGCCGGGGGGACCAGACAAAGAAGCTTCAGGGCTCCACAGAACTCCGCAGACAAGCGTTATCTGTTTATTTTCTTTTGGAGGACCAGCTCCCCGCCACCCCCTCCTGCAACTCCTCCATCCCTACCTCCCGGCCCTGAATATTAAGATTTCTGTGGGACTCATAGCACACACAAAAGGAGGGAGATTGGGATCAGCCTGGCGACACAGAGACTTGCTTGGTGTGTGTGGGGGGCACCCTTGGCCAGGCGAATGGCGGCACCGATCCGCCGCCTGTGTCTGAACCAGATTAACCAAGGGGTCTGCCTCGGGGGTGCAAAAATAGAGATGTTTCCCATACAGGACACGCCACGTGATCCATTTGCACCAGCTGGAAGCCACTGTTTTCTCATGCGGGCTGGGAAAAGACGGAAGCCGGGCTCTCGTTATTTATTTATTTTGAAAGAAAGGTCTACACATCTTTTGCTGCCTTTCGTTAGTTAACATCCTAGCTTCTCTATCCTCCCGTAAGATCAGGGTGGGACGGATTTGGCCCGCCCTCTCTCCACTTCACCTTCCTAACAGCCCTGCCGGGTAGGTCGTGCTCGGGAAAAAAAAAACACATTAGCCCAAGATCATTCAATCCAGGAATGTACAAATCCATACTGCTTTTTTCAAGTGAGAGGCAGAGAAAACACCTCTCTTCCTTACCCCAATTTTCTTCCCAAAGCAAAATTCAAGGCAGTTCACAATCCAGTTCAAAGGGATATAATTAATCACCAAATCCATAAATTTCTGGTATTTATGTTATCATAGAGAGCTTCTGTTCCACTTTTAACTCTCCAGACCAAAATGTGAAAATAATTCCTTGGGAATCAATCTGATGCCTGAGTTTGCTACTTTTATGTTTCCAATGACAACTGTTAAAAAAAAGTCATTATTTTAGTTGTGTTAAAATACTCAAAGGACACTGTTTTAATGCTGTATGGACTATTTATTCCTTTTAAAGCAATCCTAAGTGGTATTTTCAAGTTTAATGTACAATAAAATTGAAGGACGAATCAACCGATAAATTGCATGTCTCTATGTTTTACTAGCCAGAAATTAAGATTTTACAGTACAGTAGTACGCTGCTATTTATGTTTAAAATCTCTGTACCTGGCCTTGAGGTTCAGCTGTTAAAATCTTCAAGCAAAGTATCTGAAGAGCTCAGTGGTTTAAGGTGGGTTGGGAGTTCGAATTCCCACAGTGGCTCTTTAACAGAGGCCGGATGTGAAGATCCACAGGATCCCTTCCAACTGTTAAATATTTATGTAGCTGTTCTTAATATTGCCATTTTTGTCGCTCTGATACTGTGTATTATTATTATTATTATTATTATTTCCACTTTAAGCAACATGCTTTCAGCCTAAGGCATCTTGAAGTCTGTAGGTCTTGTGGGTCTTCTCAAATTTTGACCCATCAGATTTTTTGGACGTTAGCCCCTAAAAATCTTAACCCACACAATCAATAAACAGTACAAGGGGGTTAAAAAAAGAGGCTATCTCAAATAACACATATTCCTTTATGAGCCTGCCCAGGTGTTAAGATCATGAGGAGAGGCCTTCTTCTCCGTCCCGACACCTTCACAGGTGCCTTTAGTGGAGACACAAGGGAGAGGGCCTTCTCTGTGGCTGCAATCATGACGAGAGGCCTTCCTCTCCGTCCAGTCACCTTCACAGGTGCCTTTGGTGGAGACACAAGAGAGAGGGCCTTCTCTGTGGCTGCTCCCAGAGACTGTGGAACTCCCTCCCACTGGAGGCCAGACTGGCCCCCTCTTGGCTCTCCTTCCGCCAGCAGGCCATGACCTTTCTCTTCAGGCGAGCTTTCTCCGTATGCCTGCGGTGCCCCTGTTCTTATTGTCGCTTTTGATAACTATCTTTTAGTGTGGAGTTTGTCTGAACCTTTTTAAAGTATTTGTAAACTTCCACTTTACAACTTTAAATATTGTCTTTTCGTGATGTAAGCCACCCTGGGTCCTTCTTAAAGAGAAAAGCAGGGTGGAAATATTTTAAAGAATAAAATAAATATAAAGTTGACAAACTCACTAGCACAGAGAGAGATGAAGACCAGAATATATGAAATCACCGCAGCAAAGGTGAGTCAACAGGAGAGACCCTCTAAGAGCAGGAAGCCAAAATGTTGCTTTTAAAAAAATAGATTTTAGTTGGTGGAAATGGGTTGCGTCGTACTCAGCCTTGCAAAACTGGGCGAGATTTGTCCTGGAGGGAGTTTTAATTTTGATTTTCGGAGCCGAGATTCCCGCTTCCTCCAAGACTCCTCCTTTAGAGCTGTTCGACCTGGGTGGGTGGGTGTACATGCGAAGGGGGGCTTTTTAAAAAATGAGAATATGCATGGCTGGGATTAAGTCGCCCCTCTCATTTTTTTTCCAGCCACACCCATTATTCTCCTGTGGGGCGAATTTATCTCTAAGCCCATTCTTGCTTTGTGTTGCTCTGCTAATTTTGCCTTTTAAAAAATCCTTTTATTTTTTTGTTGGTTTCCTCTTTACTCCACTTTCTCTGCCCCTCCAGTTTCTGAGAAACAGCATATGAAGGCTGGGGGGGAGGGGAATCAGAATTTTGCATTTTATTCTCCCCCTCCCTTCTGTTCGCACGTTCCTCGCTTTCTCTTTCTGCCTATTCCCCGCACTTTAGAAATGATGTCCTCTGAGGACAACTTGTTCCCCTTTTGCCTCCTTCTAGAACCACACACTGATTTCATCACCATTTCTTTAAAACAAAAAAAAAAATCGCACTCAGAGCTTTAGAGGCCGGTGGCCTTCGGTCACATGGCAAGGGAAGTCCAGTTGAGAATGGTTAAAATACACCAGATTACCTCTGGTCTACCTTCAAGGGCTGTTGTGATGATTGCAGGGAAGTCTTGCGCTCCATCGCTCCTGATTTACCAGGAGAGACACAGCAATTCTTGATTTCTAATCCTTTCATTACTGTTCATTCCACATTGCTTTCTTAGGAGATTTGGAGACCTGAGAAAGGTGGGAGGGTTCAAGACTGTGATAATTTTGTAGTTTAGGAATGTACACATTTGGTCTTTTGGATTTAGGATTTTGGGATCTTTCCCAAATGGAGAAGCCTGCATATGTGTGTGGACCTGTTGAATCTTCTAAAAAAACAAACCGGTGGTCACGGTATTTTCTGCAAAAATCGCAGTCAGCGAAGAAGGTAAAAGGACTCACTCCGCCCAGGGGTAGGGGAGGCTCAAGCGACATATTTCATTTGCTGGTTTAAGGCCTCTTACGTAGTTAGCAGCAAAAGGCACAACCTTTAGACCCGGATTGCTGTAAATTAAGAAATCTCTGCAGACATGATCTGTGGCAGAGCAAGAAAAAGCCGCACTTCAAATAATGTCTACAGAGAATTCTTAATTTAGAGCAAATTTGCAGCGAAAAATTAAACACCTAAGTGTGCAAAAGGATTTAGTCACTGTGTTATAAAGCTGCCTTGGGTTCTGTTTCTGAAAGAAACAAACACACGCATTACCTTACAAATGATTCGGTGGTTCGGCCCCATTTGGGATCCAGGCCTAACACATTTATCAGTGCCTTAATTGTTAATGGGTTCCAGAGACCACGTCTGCTTTGATTGAATATTGCTCTGGTTTAGCAGGAGGGGGGAGTCTTTCTTAGATCTTCTACCTGATAGCCTTTTAAAATGAGAAATGGGCAGCTTTGGACCCTCCATGACTACAACTCCCATCAGCCCTAGCTATCTCGACTAACTGCGAGAAATACGAGGTTGAGGGGGGGACAGAGATCCAGAAATGTCTAGAAGGGACCCCCATCTCTCCTTGAGGAGGTCAAAATCAAACCCTTCAGAGCTGAGGCTTTGTGAATCCGCTCCGGGCATGAGGCTGAACTTTACAGGAGCTGTCCAAGGTGCTTAAACCTAGGCTCCAGGGGGGAAACTCAGCACCTTGGAGAGGGCCTTTAAAGTTCAGGCCAAAATCCGAAATGCAACCAGCATGTCCTCAAAGGCAGAAACGCTGGCGATTTTTCATTAAACCTCCCATTGAGATTTCCTTCCACAGCCTTGGAGGGCAAATCACAAGCTCCACTCTTTGTACCACTGCTTTCCAGAATTTTATTTATTTATTTATGTTGGTCTGATGTGGGACAAAAAAGGATGTAGGTGCCTTTGAGACATGGGGCTGGCATATTTTCTCTCCTGCTGCTCATCCATGCATTAAAATGGTGGTGGGCAATGTGCGGCTTTCCAAGATGCTGTTGTACTGCAGATCCCATCTGCCCCAGCCAGCGTAGGCGAGAGACCATGAGGAGGGCAGCAGCTGTGAACCCACAACATCTGGAAGACAACACAATTTCCATCCTTGTGTTAAATCACACAGGGAGAGCCTGGCTTTCCCTGTCTGAGAATACTGAAAAATGAACAAATGAAAAATTGAACAGACGATGATGATGGTGGTGGTGATGATGATGATAGTGGTGGTGATGGTGGCTATGACAGCAAGAACTGTATCCCTCCCTTCCTGCCTTCCTTCCTTCCTTGACCAAAGGTTTAACTTCAGCACCAAGGAGTGGCTAAATTTTATCCATTTTAAAATCAACTTCCTAAGCTCTAATTCTGAGCCCAGGGTGACGGCTCTGTTAATATGTGCAAATAAATCAAATATTGTGTTTCCCAGACCCTGACCATTCTTGTTTGGAGTGGGAATCTGGAAGATATTAATGCTACGTCTGTGGAGCCCTCAGGATTTTTTTAAAATGCTGAAATCCGCACCCCCCCTCCCCAGTACACTTAGATCTACGCAAAACAGTAGTGACAGCCTGGGAAATTCATTTCATGGAACCCTAACCCCCATGATTCTCAAGTGGCTATTATTTTGGGGGTATTCTAGGGTTTAGTTCAAAGGAAGGGAGACTGGGGTACTGGTGAGGGGGGACAGTGGAACTTTAGGCCACCAGATGACACAGTCGTGGTCAAGGCTCATCGTTAGTTTACATGCAGAAACGTGCAAGACAGGAGAGCATCTACAGAGCATGTACAGAATGCCAAACAAAGGAGTTGCAGGATTTACGACTCGAGTGCTAGGCCTTCGAGAGAAAACCGGACAGCCGTCTGCTTTGAAGCGGATTCCTGCCTCGAGCAGGGGGTTGGACTGGATGACCTTTGGAGGCCCCCTTCTGACTTCACGATTCTACGACTCTGCGAGTCTACCTTTGGAGGACCCCTTCCGACTTCACGATTCTACGACTCTGCGAGTCTGGGAAATGAAGCCATGGATAAAGCCCTTGGCGTCTCTTTTTCACTTGGGATCACAAGCTCATGTTTTTAAAAATAAACCACCTCCAAAAAAGAGAGAGAGAGAGAGAGAGACGGATAAAGCCTGGCGTGACTCAAGCCCTTGGCGTCTCTTTTTCAGTCTGGAGCACAAGCTCATGTTTTTAAAAATAAATCACCTCAAAAAATAAAAAAATAAAAAAATAAAAAAATAAAAAAATAAAAGAAAACCAAGAGAGAAGCCGTTTTATGGAAACAAGCCTCCTTGTTTGCCTTGCAAACCATCCAAAACTAGCATGATTTTGAAGCCTCTTCTCAGAAAAATCAAGAGGATTTATTTATTTATTTATTTATTTGATTTGTATCCCACTCATCTGGTAACTCGGTACCATCCTCAGCTCTCCCTGGTTAAATCTGTTCCTGATCCTTTAGAAGAGGCGAAGCATTCCCCCCCCCCCAAGATTTAGGCTGTGGGTCTTGGGTTTGGGTAGCGGACCGCTAGTTCCGGGCCTGGAGATAAAGTCTGCCTTTTTAAAAGGATCCGAAACCAGCCCGGAAAGGTTTTGGCCCCTGTGCTGAATCTGGCCCCGTTTCTCGGGAACCCCTAGGCTTCAAGGGAGGCACAGAGGGAGAAACTGAGCAGCCCCCATGGACACCAACGGGTCACATCTGCAAGAAATCTTTTTCCTGGCCCTTGTGCAGCCATCATCTTTCTCTGTCTTCGCTCCCGACTCACGGACTGCTATCAGACGAAACCTTGTTCACTTTCGCTTTGATACCCAGAGTAAGAAACCAGTGGCTTTCCAGATGAGGTTTGATCCCAACACCCATCATCCCTGGAGGGAGGGGGGCTGGGGATGATGGGAGCTGGAGTGGCCCCTACCTCTGGATGGCTGACATTTCCCCACTCTGGACACCACCCTATCGGCCTCACTACCATCTCTCTTTGGGTGGAGAGAAGGCTACAATTTCACCCTTCGGCTTTTAAGCCTGATTCCAGAGAGGAACCCCAAGACGATTCTTAAAATAAATAAGGCTAACGGGGCTTTCTTCCCTAACTAATCTTCCTTGTTAGACATTTTTCAACTCCTCCTCCTCCTTTCTCCATTTTTGTAAAAAAGTTCTTTCCCGGCTCTCAGGCGTAGAATCGGCAACGCCTAGGGGCATTAAACCCAGGGTTCTGTGTGGCGGGCGCCAGTTATTGTGGACGGGGCCACAGAGCCAGGATTGAGAGACAGTGCCAGGGTCTGAAGGGGCTATTCCTGCAGACGGACAGACAGACAGACAGACAGACAGACAGACAGACAAACAGACCCGACAAGATCATCATGGTCCCCCCACAGCAAAAGAGGTGCAGAAGTGAGGTCCGGCTAAACACAGCAAAGAAGGCGTTTTGCACCGAAGCGGGGGTGACGCCCCATATGCCCAGACGGAAGAGCTTTCCGTGGGAGATGGCAAGCACTTACAGGCCGCTGGCCAATAGGTCCTGCCCACAGCCTTCACCCTCAGTGGTCTCCGAAGCGTACGGTCCACTTACTTGCGCTCAGGATCATGGCACCAGAGGCCAGCAGGAGTCCGGCTAGGTGCCACACCATCTTCATGATGCCCAGGGGGGTCTTGTCCAGTCCTGGCTGCCCCTCAGCACACCCCCTCGGCTCCTCTTAGCCGGTGTCCAGAGGCAGGGGTCTGGGCGAGCGGCTTTCCGCCGGGCCGCGGCGTTTTGCGACAGGACGCGGGGAATGCAGGCGGTTCAGCCTGGCGCCTCTCCACTCCAGCCTTGATCGGAAGATCAGGGGACCTGGGTGAAGAGGCTGAGGAAGAGGAGACCCCAAACTAGGGGGTGCAGGGGGGTCTCCAGGATCCGAGCTGCTTGCCTTGTCTCCTCACGGCTCCCGCCTTCCAAATGCTCAGCTCTGGCTGGGCTCGGCCCTCATGATCCACTGAGGCAGGAAATCGACTCCCTCACGAGGGAAGCTTGTCAAGGAATATGACTGCCAAAACAACAAGAGGAAATGCTGAGTCCCCCCCCCTCCACGCTCCTCTGTTTAAAAAAAAAGAGAGAGAAAAATAACTTCTTCAAAGGATGCGAAACAACTCAGCTGCTGATCCAGCATCCAGGGAGAGAGAGAGGCCAACTCTTAGAAACAAGGGGCCCTGAAAAAACCCCGGCCGAGAAGCCAGCATGAGTCTCCTTTTTAAAAAGCTTGCTTTTTTAAAGGCACACTACTTTTCAAAAGCAATTCCTTGTTACCCTGTTTTGAAAAGTAACTTTTTACCCCTACTCCTCACAAGATACAAGTTACTTCTCGAAAGCAATCTCTTCTCATTCCTTGTTATCCGGTTTCAAAAAGTAATGTCTTACCCTTACCCTGTACGAGTTACAAGTTACTTTTCAAAAGCAACCTGGTCTCATTCCTTGTTACTTTGTTTTGAAAAGTAACTCTTTACCCCTACTCTGTAAAATTACAAGTTACTTTTCAAAAGCAATCTGTTCTCATTCCTTGTTACTCTGTTCTGAAAAGAAACTTTTAAATCCTACTCTGTACAAGGGATAACACTAACAGTTGTTGTGTCACTGAGTTAGTTACTTGTCCCTTTTTGGGGGGACAGGGAAGAGGGAAAAACCAATGAGACAATGGCATAAAATATGGATACCTTCCACTGAAATGTCCCTCAAAGGCGTAAAATGGCCTTTAAAAGTGTAACTGAAAACAATGACTACTTAAAGCAATTAGGTAACTTCATCCCTGTTTGTTACAAACTGTGGGCAGCAAATGAGGGCTAAAGGCACATCAGTGTCGGAGAGACGTGGTTCAAGCAGACTTTCATGTTTAAGAAATCAAACTTCAAAGGAATCTCAGACTTTGAAGGCCCGGAGGCCAACCAAAGCAAGCTAGTCTGCAAAATCCAGGTAGTCAGAGAAACTCTTACTGTGACATTCACACCTGATCAGCCCTAAAGGATTTACCTCTTCTAATTCCAGGTTATCTTTGAGGTCTCTTTCTGTCCCCAAATACTTTTTTCTTTGCTGGCATTGAAGGTGTGGGAACCACTTCCTCCTTTGTATCCAGGCTTCGCAATGTTATTTTCGGCGAATTCCTGTATTCCACACGTTTATTATTTTGTGTCTAAGCCCTTCCAATGCTTTGTGACTCTTTTTTCCTTTTCCGAAGCAGCACAAATATTTTGCAAGCCTGGAATGTGTGCCCAGAAACACACACACACATATTTACAAAACCAGGGCCCTGGTCTGTGATCCTTTGCCAGTCGTTGTACGAAAGGAACTCCCCCCCTCCTTTAAAATCTACGAGACATCCAGGCATGCTAAGGGGCAGGGTCTTTAGGGGGAGGGTTGTGTGTCTCTGATAAAGTCTAAACCTGCTTTCTAATCCTTGGGTGGGCAGAAGGTACCTGAAAGCAGGTGAACCCAGTGGGACATCTCTGGACCAGTTCTGACCATGGGGAAAGCTGCTGCTGTCAACTACAACTCCCATTATCCCCCTGCAATGGCCAGAGTTGTAATGGGCTCACAACTCCATTGCTCTTCCAGAGTCTGAAGACAAAAGAGGAAACTTTGCAAAGAAGGGATGCTAAGATGTGTCCCATCTTTCCGCCCCCCCAGGGCAGGGCTCAACCTTTAAGACCCTGCAGACCACACAGGACTCCTTGCATCTGCTCAGCTCCTGCCCTGCCTGCTCTTTGCCACATCTGGATGAAGACACCTGTGAGCTCAAAAGCTTGCACCTTCTCTTCCCTTCCCACCCCAGTGTCCATTTCAGGTGAGGCTCATAAAGAGGATGGCGGTTCGTACCACGGCCTTTTCGGAGAGCCTCGGTCCAGAAGCCAGAACCGATCTGGAGAACCACAGCAGTGTCAGCAATAAAAATATCCACCCTGTACAGATCTGTCTGGCGGTTGAACGTGGCTTTGAGGAGCCCTTTTGGGACTATGTTTCTCAGTATTCCTTCGTCCCTCCGTGCCTCGATCGGCCCGGTCTAGAATTTCCTGGATACCTTGTTTTGTGGGCTTTTCCCCTCCACGAAAGCACATAACTCTCGAGGCACATGCAAAGCCGTCACCCTCTCTGCAGCCACCTTCTTTTCCTCGGGCCCAACAGGCTTGGGGGTAAGAGGGAGGGCCAGACGGTGGACGGGCTGGGTCCCCAAAGGATGCGGTCAAGGCCAGAGAGAGCCAGCCAGCAGGAGAGGCAGGGCGGCGTAATGGGTAGTGGGTTCGAATGTTCCTTAGGTCACAAAACTCACTGTCCATGTGCCTTTTCTCAGCCACGTTGGGGCACCTTGAAAATGGGGGGGGGGCTCCAATCAAACTGCCGCTACTCACAACCTGGCTCCAACCGGGGAAGCCAGCCGGGGTGGAAAGGTACAGGAAGGTACTTTCGCAAAAATACTCAGGGATCATTCAAGCTCTGGGGGCGGGGCAAGGCCATTAATGGCTATTACTTTGGTTAATTTGTAACTTTCCTTCCTCATGATTGAGAAGTATCTAAAATAGTTACCTTTTAGTGGCTTTTTTCAAAAGAGCAACAACATCAGAATATTGAGGCAACAATGTTTACAAGTAGAGTATTTGTTTAAATTATTTATATGACACCTTTCTCCTTCTAGAGGACACAAAGTGGCTTATATATGTATATATTTTAGACACTTCTCAATCATGAGAAAGGAAAGTTACAAATTAACAAAAGTAACAGCAATATATATATTGCTGTTACTTTTGTTAATTTGTAACTTTCCTTTCTCATGATTGAGAAGTGTCTAAAATATATACATATATAAGCCACTTTGTGTCCTCTAGAAGGAGAAAGGTGTCATATAAATAATTTAAACAAATACTCTACTTGTAACTAAAAAAGGAGGGAGATTCGCCCTGTTATGTTGCAGTTGTAGTGTAACTCAGTTACACATTAGTTACTGCCATTTTTTTTAAAAAAAAACAAGTTCTTTATTTTATTTTACGGGTTATCTTTATACTCCTTCTTCATTGAAATGAAGGCCTCCTCCCTCTTCTGTCCTCGCACCAACCCTGTACGGTAGAGCAGGCTCAGAGGGCCTCCTTCGGTTTCCCGGCCTAAGAGGGACGGTCATCTCCTTCTTCTGAACCTCGAAACAAGACCCTCGCCCAAAGCGCTCCCTGCTCACGTCCCAAGGGACCTCATGGGGGGGGGAGGCAGACGGGCACCGCTGCCACCGCTTTTGTGTGGCTGTGTCCCCCGGCTGCCCTGCTCGGACACGTTCTCTGGCTCCGGCCTCAAAGACAGCTTTTGGCACAGATGAAATTTCCTCCCTCGGCACCCCCCGCCCGGCAGAGTTGGGGACTGGTGGTATGCAAACATGCTCATGGGGGGGAAACGTGAAGGCTGTCATATCCTTCCCCCGACATTCCAGCCACGCGCCAGGGCCCATTGCGACGTTACACACCAGGAAAAGCTTGGGGGGGGGGAAGGAACAGGCTTAAGGGCTGTCTCTTCTCTTCACAGACACGCCGTCCGTTCCTGTTTATTGTCTGAGCCTTCTGGACTTTTTGATGACTTAGATCTGAGCATGTTTTCACAGGGAGTTTCCTTCCCCTCATCGCCATCTCGATAACTTTGGTTTCTTCCCAAAATCCACTCAGCTCCTGCTTCCCCCCACCCTCCAAGAAGAGAGGATGGCTGGTTTGCTTTTTGTGGGGGTCGCGTGGAATTAAGGCACAACGAAGGCGCGTTCCCCCCCCCATCGTCGTCTTGCTTGGACAACGACCTTTCTTTGAGCGTTCCAATACAAGCTACCCTTGATGTCCACCCCCATTTCAAAAGAAGTTGGGAACATTCCTTTAAAAAAAATGAGAAATTCCCTAAATCTCAATATTTGGGATGGGTGTGCCGTGGCGCATGTAGCCAAAACGGTGCGTGCACACTCCATGCGCTACGAGGACACACTATGAAGGATGCTCAAAAGGCAATGTTTCCCTTGGGAGGGGGCAAAACTCAACCAGCTGGCCACTGAATCACTCAGTCTCCCTTCAACTTGGGGTAGCCTCCTTCCCCTGAACCCCAAAACTCAGGTAGGCCTAGATCTCTCTCCTGCCACCCCTTCCTCCTGCCACCTGAGGCCCCTGCCTTTCTCTGCCTAATAACAGAGCCGGCACCTCAATACGGAAAACCTTGGAACGCAGACGTCAGCCATGTGCAGAAAAACACATACAATTTCTTTTCACTCTTTAATAATGAGATGATGATCAATACATTCAGATGCTTGGCCATCACAAGGGCCTTTAAGACTGGGCGGGAAGCCGTGGATCTCCCCACTTCCACTTATAAATATTAGAAACGGGTGTACAAAAAACAAACAAAAACAGAGGCAGCAAATACAGACCAACGAATCTCTTTAGAACGCAGATGGGTGCGTGCATTCGTGAAACGCTACTCTGTGAACAGATTCGGACAGGAACTAAAAGAGGCACAGTGTTTCGATGAGCAAATCGCTCCCAAACTGAGATCATCATCACCATCCTCCTAGAACGGCAGAGCTGGAAGGGACCCTATGGATCGAGTCCAGCAGGCCCATTGGGGGGATTCGAACTCCCAACCTCTAACTCCGCAGCCAGAGAGACCCAAGTCACTGAGCTATCCAGATCACAGCTTAGAAAGTGGGTCGGCTGGTAGCTCTGGTGTCTTGTGTGGGGTTTTTTTTGGGGGGGGGCTGGGAATCCACTCCGGATTTTCCTCCGAACTTGAAAGAGCCTCTCCATGGTGGAGAACCTGTTTTGGAGGGTGGCAGGGTGGGAGGTTAGGTTTCAATACCCTGGAGAGCTCCTGTAAAATTTGAGCTAAACCCTAGAACAGGTTCCGCCACCATCGGCTTCTTAAAAAGGTGAGGGATGACAACTCCCAGCAGCCCCAGCCTATGGGGATTCTGGGAGTTGTAGTCAAAAGTCATTTTATAAAAAAACACAACATTTCCAAGGTCTGACTAAAACATAGCAGGCTGGGCTTCCGTTTATGTTCCTTTCCCACAACCTCGCATCCTTCTTTCAGCAGTTCAAGTTACTTTAGAGGAAGCAAGGAGGGGGAAATCTAAGGAGGTTTGCTCAGATGAACTTCGGTCCACAGATTTTGGACACAATCAAACTAAAGAAAAGGCACGTCGAAGTTGCGGTGTGTAGTTCCTAGCTGTTAAGGACATTCCGAGAGGCCACTGAAGGTTATAAAAAAGCTGCAGGGAGTTAAAATATGTATTTATTTTTCAAAGGATCTCGTCGCCTCACCTCCAGTCCCTCCTGGAATTGAAAGCCGCATCCAGGTTGCATGTTTTTTTTCATAAGAAAAAAAATATAATATTTCACCCTCATTTGTTGTTGTTGTTTCCCTAAGGTGGGAAGGAGAAAATAAAACAGTGTCCCTCCTCAATTCTCTTCCGTGATTACGCTTTTAGAAGCCTCCCTGTGTTTGACTGGCATAGGGGGCTGGTCTGATAGAAAGCGCCTTCATGCTCGCAGATAGAAATCTAGCCTGTCAGGGAAAAGGCCAGAGCGGAACCTTGCCAGGCTAGCTTTCTATGTGAAATGTGGGGGATTCAGGCGCTGGATGGGGGAGCATTTCATAGTATGGGCCTTTGTTTGCAATCAGAGGTTTCCTGGTGCCTTGGACTCCAGTGGGAAATAAGGGGTGATCCTTGATTCTGTACCTCCATATAGAGGACAAGACTGTATCTTTTTTTCCAATTGAAAAACAGCACTTTAGATTTTTTTTAAAAAATAACCAGAGAAGAATTACAGGGCATTCTTAGGTGAGGTTTGCTTAGCAAAAGCTACATCAGGAAGAGACTGTCTGTAGACTGACAGCAGAGATCCTCCTGTTACGTTCCTAGATGCTCCTGGACTACAAAACCCAGAAGCCCTGTGTTGACTAGGGCTCCTCATTTGGGAACTCCTCTTCGGGTTCTAAAGAAAAGCATCCTTCAGCCTTAGATCCCATTCTCCCCTGAAGGGCTATAAACTTATTAGGCTAGGGGTGGAGGCCGCCCTCCAGAGGTTGGACTACAACTCCCATCTGTCAAGCCCACATGGCCGGTGGAGGGTGGGAATGGTATTTTAGCCACAACTGGAGGGTTACAGGTTGCACGCTCCATCGACTGGTGAGGGGAAAGCTCCCAAAACATCAAGATATAACCCCCCACGCCCCCAGCTGCGTTAGTCAGGATTATGGGAGTCGTAGTCCAGCAGCCTCTCAAGGGCACCAGGAGCCTGGGTTAGATAATATCATCTCCCCCACCCTGCCTGCTTCACCCCCTGCCTTTTTTACATGCCTTCTCGTTAAGAGCAAACAGACGGTCTTCCTTCTGTTAGACTTGGGATAAACAAGCCATTTCCTGCCCTTAATCAACCTTTGGGATGAAGAGCATAAATGTTAGAGCTGTGGTTTTTTTGCTTTTTTTTTCCTGTTGCAGGAGAAGCATTGGGAGCAGTGCGGGAGGGGGGGTAAGGAGAGGAGAGGGAAAAAAAATCTCAGCTCATGAAAGCGAATTTTACTTTGGACAGGAGAATGTGCGAGCCAAACGCAAGGCGCTCTAAACTTCCTCCACACGGGCCTCTGTCCACGAAAACAGGATGGAGCCCCTTCCGGTGTCACGGCTTTGGAAGATGGAATCGGAGACGAGACCAGACGGTGAGGCGGAGTGTGCGTGGGTACGTGTGGGTGGGTGTGCCAACGCTCCTGGCCGGGAGGGCGCTTCTGCCGAGATCCGAAGTGGGCCACGGAGCAGATCAGAAGATGTCAAGGGGAGAAGAGAGACAGAGGAGCGGGTGGGGACGGAGAAACGCTGAGCGACCTCCCTTTCAAGGATTCACTTCAAGGCGTCCAGCTGAGTGCAGACTTGCTGGAAAACGGCATCCACGGAGCCTTCCGCGTTGATCTACAGGAGGAGAAGACCACAGACCATTTCCGAGCAGCCCTCACTGAGTGCTAGAAGCATGAAGTGCCAGTGGGATGTTTAAAACCTCCTGCCACTCACCTTCTGGCTGCTCCCCCCTGCATCTAAGTTGGCGGCCATCATCCATTCAGGGTGTGATTTCTGAAGGTGATTTCCACACACACGGTGCCCCCAGGGATGGTATTAAAGTGGGTCTCCTTTGAAGCTGGCAGATGAGCCTTTAGAGCAGGGGTCCCCAGCCTTGGGCCTCCAGATGTTCTGGGACTTCAACTCCCAGAAATCCTGGCCAGCAGAGGTGGTGGTGAAGGCTTCTGGGAGTTGCAGTCCAAGAACATCTGGAGGCCCAAAACTTGGGGACCACTGCTTTAGAGCACAGAAAAGCCCTTCCGGATGAGAGATTTGGAGAATTATAGACCAAAAATATGAAACTTTTCCAAAGTGCTAAAAACTGCCCTCCAACTTTACAATAGAGGCCGTCCAGTGTCATTTACCAAGGGGGAGCACATAGAAAGCAACTTCAAATCTGGTGTCATCAAACATCAACTTGTGGGCCCAGAAGGCTGGATTAGGCCAACTTTAGCTGGTTCCAGCACAGCTCTTGTTAAGATTCTCAGACGCTGAAATTTGTTTCCGTTGTAATGTAAAAGTGCTAATTCGCAGAGTTTGGAAACAATGCGCTAACATATCAATGGTAAAATTTGGACTCTTGTGCTCAGCGGCCGGCCAGGCCCACTGGCGCATCTGATAACACGCATCGTAAAAGGAGCTTTTAAAACGATCTTAAAGTCACTTTTAAAATGCTTGTTTATTAAGAGGAGATGCATTCTTGCTCGACACAAAAGGCACAGAACGCCGAGGCGTTACGTCTACGCATGGCCAAGGGAAAAAAGGGAAGAGGGATGGAAACTTAAAGAATGATCTGGAGAATTGGTTCCATGAATTCCTGCACAGAAATCATCCTCTCTGTCTTTATGGTGCAAGCCACCTCTGGTATTCCTGTTTTTTTGTTAAGGGTGCTGAAAGAAGCACGGGGGGGTGGCTTTCAAGGTGAGGGTCACCGAGGAGGCAAGTATGAGTGGCTTTTACGTGCAAGGGAAACTCATCAATTTCGCCCTCCAGATCACATCTATCTCAGAGTAAAAAAATCTGGCTGCCTAGCTCAGACACGAGTCCAATGCACGAGACGTTTTGGCCACCATTTCCTCCCCACCCAACGAGGCTTCCTTTCCACCATCCGCCCCACGGCTGCCCCTAAATCGTCACCCCCCATCTCCGCTCCGTCTGCCTGGCGCTGGCCTCCCCTCTTGCGGGGGCTGCCCCATTACTCATCTTCTTGCTATGCCAAATATTGCACAGCTGGAAGGATGCTTCCTCCCAGTGATAAACGGGCCCCGGGATGCATCCTCAAGACCTCCCCGCCTCCCATGGAAGCTACCCCTTGCCCTCCACCCCAGTGAGAAACCCAACCGCAAGAGGTCCAGATGACTGAGCCATCTTTGTCGGTTCTGGCCTCTGCAGCTATCCAAGGTGAGAGACGGCTGGTAAGGAAGGGGCCAGCGGTTGATCTGGGGTGGGTGGGTGGACCAAGAGTGACTTCTACAGGCCTAAGAGTATGGATGGATGTTTCTGCATTCTTTGAACTGCAACACCCAGAAATCTCCTGGAATTAATCATAGGAACCATCTCAGAACTGCAAGGCTGGGAGGGACCCCTAAGGGTCATCCAGTCCAGCCCCTGTCAAGGAGGTCCGGGGCAGGGGGGAATCGAACTCCCAACCTCTGGCTCCACAGCCAGAGAGCTAAACCTATGGCCCGGGCTAGAATTCTGGGGGATTTAGCATCCCTCTCAAGTCCTCTCATGTGTTTGATATAACTCACAGCTAGTGCATTTAAAAAAATCCCTCCATTTCTCAATTCTAAGGTAGAGGAGCTGGCTAAGAAATAGGATCCACCGTGTAGGGAACAAACACCTGAGAGGGTGTTTTTTTGGAGGCAAAAATGCTGAAGGTAGGTTCCTCTGGAAAAGACCATCCTTTTGGGAAAAGTGGAAGGCAGCAGGAAAAGAGGAAGACCCCAATGTGAGACGGACGGGCTCCTTAAAGGAAGCCACAGGGTTTGCGTTTACAAGAGCTGAGCAGGTCCCTCGAGGACAGGAGATGTTGGAGACCCCTCATTCATGGAGTCACCAGAAGTCAGAGGTGACTTGAGGGCAGAGAACGACAAGCACCACAACAAACCACCCACCTTGCGGACGATTCCCCTTTTCTCGTAGCAGTCGATGACGGGCTCCGTGGCCTTGTAGTAGGTCTCCAGCCGCTTCTTGATGGTCTCTTCGTTGTCGTCCACCCGCCCGCTCGTTTCACCCCGCTTTAGCAACCGCTTCACCATGGTGTCTTTCCCAGCGTCTATGTACAGGACCAATGAGGGGGGTGCGATCTGAACGGGGAGGGGGGGAGCATGACCGCAAGGAAGGGAAGGGAAGACCAAAGCAATAAATCATCACAAGAAATCTCATCCCTCTTGCCTGGGCTCCTCATGTTGCAAAGGAGCTTGTTTTTTTGTTTTGTTTTGGGAAACATGGCCTTCATTTGCAAGTCTGGTTGACAGGGCATGGAGCTTTGAAGGAATGGCGTATCTTTTTGTTTTGGGACTGGTCATCATGAGGGATACATGGCTTTCATTTGCAAGTCTGGTTGACACGGCATGGAGCTTTGAAGGAATGGCGTATCTGGAGGGAAAAGGTTGCAAGAGCAGGAAATATGCCTCTTCTTTTGACACCCAGCTTTAGCTTTCAGAGGAAATTCGTGGACAGATCCAGCATTAAAAAGCAAGGCCAGGTTCACACCATCAAATGGTGACCAGTAAGTGTTGGAAGGGTTAAGAGAGAGAAGGCTTCTTTTACCATTGGGGGTGGACGTAGGATGCAGCCAAAAACATCTGGAAGCAAACTCATCTAACCATGCAGGAGATACTGAAAATCAACCTGCAACTGAACCCAGAAAAGTTTCTTTTCAGCTTAGTGGACGATCAGAATAATGTTGTCATGATCAGATCCATGATAAGAGCTGCAGCGTTTTCCAAAATAATATTATTGGGACTGAGATACAATTAACTTCGGGTTTTTTCTCGACAATGAGCTAGCCGGGAAACTAAAAGCAGGAGCCGTGCGCCATCTCGTGACGATCCAGAGGGTTACAAGCAATGAATATTCAGGAGATGCTTTCCTTTCAGTGGTGCCTCGCTAGACAGTTACCCCGCATGACCGTTTTTTCGCTAGGCATTGACTTTTTGCAATCGCTATAGCGATTCGCAAAACAGTGAATCCTATGGGGGAATTTCGCTGGACAAAGTTTGGTCCCTGCTTTGCAAACTGATTTTAGCTAGACGACGATTTGCTTTTCGCTACATGATGATTTCGCTAGACAGCGATTTCAGTGGAACAGATTATCGTCATCTAGCGAGGCACCACTGTATTGGGGGCATGTCTGGGTATAACCGTTGGGAGCTGAGACGCAGAGGCCTTAATTCAGACAGGTGCTGACCTATGGGTGTCTTACTGTCACGTCTGACCGTCATGACTCTGAAACCTTACCTTTGTGGGTGTGTGAAAGAGCACGGGGGTAGAGATGGGGGCCTTAAGGATCTTTTGAGGTGCAAGTTAACTTGAGAGGCAGGATGGTGTAGTGGTTAGACTGCCAGGCCAGGATTCAGGAGACCCTGGGTCTGGATCCTGCTCAGTCAAATGCCCCAACCCAAGGCCTTCCTGACTCATCCCGCCCATGCCGTCCCCTCTCTCTTACCTTCTTCTCAAACTCCTCGCCCTGCTTCACCTCCCGGGGGTAGCCGTCGATCAAGAAACCCTTGGAGGTGTCGGCCTTGGCCAGCATGGCGTCCCTCAGCATGTCGAGGACCGTTTCCTGTTGGCAGAGAGCGGAGGAAATCCAACCGGTGTCGAGAGTTGGATTTATCCCAGGGAGGGTCTCACCTGCAGGGACCTCCCAAGGTGCTCAAGAAGCAAGCCGTCTTCCTCCCAGGTAAACTCACCAATGGGACCAGCTCTCCTTTCTCCATGATGGCCGACAACTTCTTCCCCCTCTCCGAGCCCGAGCCAACCTCCGTCCTCAGCAGGTCGCCAGTGGACAGGTGCGTGTAGCCGTACTTCTGGACAATCCTCTCACACTGGGTCCCCTTGCCTGAGCCGGGCCCACCTGCCAGCGACAGAAGCCACCACATGAAAGATCTCACCCAGGAGAACTCTGTTATCTGTGATTTTTTTTAAAGCTTTGTCTTGAGTTTCCACTTTGAGTTACGACAACGTTGGGCTGGGAACCTCTTTGAGAAGCGAGTGAAAAAGTTTAGATTTGACTTTTCTTTTGGAATTAGGGCAACGTTGAGTGGGAGAGCCCCCCCTTCTCAAAGCAATTCAACAACACAACGTTGGGTGGGCTCAAAGCTCTGAAGGCCGGATTGACCGTATCCTACTAGTTAGTAGGTTTTATTATGTATGTTATTTCATTGTGTTTTATTACTCATGTAAGCCGCCCCAAGTAGACTTTGTATAAGTTCAATAAAAGTAAAGTAAAGTATTTAAACAATGAGAATGAATAGATGTGAATGAGGGTAAATCATGACATGTTACATCGATAATGCAAGGAGCAAGAGAAAACCAACTGCAGTCAGGGTTTTTAAAAACAAAATATAAAACCAGGGACAAAAGCTAGAAATAATAACGGATGCTATCATTTCTAAATGATGATCGGGCTCCTTCTCAAATCTGTCAGTCAATTGTTATTTGTTCTTCCACCCAGGCATTTCCCCGATCAAGGTCCATAAAATCATCTTTAAAAGCAGAGAGGGGAAACGTTCCTGCTTTTGCAAGACAAATATCAGACTTCTCGGACCATGAGCCTACCCACCGGTACAGACAACGTGAGACTTTGCATTTCAGAAAGGAACTTTTTCCAACTCCAAAACTCTCTAGAGTGGAATGATGTACACTTTAGAAGGCTGAAAAATGAGCAGAATACTTACCGACGACGAAAATGATCTTGTGGTTTTTCAATTTTTCTGTAAGGGGAGAAGGGGGTGAAAAACCCAGACACGTATTAGGTTTTTTAAAAAAATATATGAATATTTGGTTGTGGTTATTTTTCAGAGGCATATTTAAAAAATATGAATATTTGGTTGTGGTTATTTTTCAGATGCGAGAGGACAGGAAATCATCTCTCTTGAGCTCCCTCTGATACCATCCTGTACTAAAATCTAATTTTAAGAGGATTTCAAAGAGGTACAGCCGAAGAATGACACCAGGGCCAAAGCGAACCACCTGGGTTTACCTTTGCCACCTCTCACGGTGGCATCATCCACACAGGAGCACTGAGGACCCATCTTTCCAGCACTTCCAGATTCTGGATTTTCACTTCCTCCTTTCCTCTTTTCCCCAAAATCTAAGACGGTGTTGGGTGGGTGGGTGTCTCCCACCCCTTCGGCTTAGCACATTTTGGGGTTCGTAAGCCTCTGGCCACCCGGCCTGGTGGCTGAGGGTCCAACACAGGTTTCCATGGAAACTGTCTCTGAGGGCGAAGTAGGCCCCCAAGCCCCGCTATGGGATAGAACGTCTCAGGGGACCTAAGATTCCAACACCCATCCACTCCCTTTGGAAACAGGATCCCTGCTGGATCACCTTCTGGAGACCAAGGGGCCTTTTTTGTCATGACGGAGATGGGGGTGAGTCTAAGGATGGTGACAAAGCAGGATTGTGGAGCTGAATTTTATAACGCCCCTCCATGACGGAGGTGGGGGTGAATCTAAGGATGGAGACAAAGATTGTGGAGCTGAATTTTATAACGCCCCTCGAATTTCATAGCATAACGAGGACGAAAACGATAATAATGATGTACATCAAGTCAGTTCTGACTTATGGTAACCCTTTTCCATACTCAGAAGTGGTTTTTTTCCTTCCTTCCCCCCCCTGGAGGTAGCCCTGGGACTTTGTGCAGCTTGCCCAAGGCTACCCAGGCTGGCTCCCAAGAGACAGAGTGGGGAATCGAACTCCCAACCGTTTGGCTTCGCAGCCAGAGACCTAAACCACTGAGCTAGCCAGCCAGCCTCGGAGTGAGAATGGCGACACGTCTCGGGCAAAGCGAAGACAACGGCTCTTCTAATTCCAAGATGCGAAAACTTCGCTAAAGTGGAGCAGCTGGAAACCTAATGACAGAGAAGCCGCAGGGCTAAAAATAAAACTGTTTTGGTTTCGGAGCGGCCTGCAGGGCCGGACCGTCATCTGGGAGCAGCTCTAAGAAGTCTCCTTTGATTACAGCTTTCTAGAATTACAGGGTTGGGAAGCCGAGAAGCCGAGCAGGTTCTGGGGTTGGCGTCACTTCGGGAGACCGCTCGTACACCTGGAGGCAGCTTTGGGTATTCCTGCTCCCTTGTGATGCTGAACATTTGAATCAGGCCAAGGAAAAAGCACAATAATATTCTTTGAGGAAGCTTGAGTGATTTAAAGAAAAGCTCCTTCAGATATGATGTTTCCATGCCGCAGACGTGGAAGGCTCAAGCGAGACAACACGACACCCCTTATGCAGGGAGTGCATTTAAGAAGTAGAAGCTGTCTCTTTATTGTGGCACAAACATGCCTCACTCCACATGTTGCACATCTGCTGGCTTTAGGTTGGTGATGCGTCTCTGGGAGTTAAACGCAGGCTTCCTTTGCGAGCCTGGTCGCTTGGACATGGAGCTTTGGAGGCATGGCATGTCTAGAGGGAAAATGCCGTAGTTTAATGAAACACACATTTCTCTTAATGTGTGATTTGACCCTAAAACGCAGAAAACCAGCAATAAGGCCAATCTAGGCTGTGGTGGCTGCGGTTTCCGGGCACAGAAGATGGGGCTTTTGGGTAAGAATCCAGATTTGAAAATCACCTCCGGTTAAAAGGATTACGTAGCAGGTTTGTGCGAAAGACGTTTGCTCCCGTTGGGAAAAATCACTTACCGGCTGCCATCTTGAGAAGTTCAGGAGTAAGAAACGGCTCGGCCTGAAATAAGGAAGGAGACGCCTTGGTGAAGGTGGGGGATTTGAGGACAGTTACCCCAAAGAGACAGGCAGACACGTAAAAACTAATAGCTAGGCTGCAGCTTCAGAATGAACCCCATGGTCTTTCCACAAAGGAATGGAGGGGGGAAAGACATGATTCAGTGGGGAATCACTGATGCCTGGGGATGCTGTTCCCGTGGCAACCGCTTTCCCCTGCATCACTTCCTGCATCACAATCCAACCATCACCAGATTCAAAGAGGGACCGAAAACCAGCCTGAGCAGAGAGAGGGGCTTAGAAAAAGGAGGAATTGGTAAAGAAAGTAACGGATTGCAATGTAAAGAGAGAACTGGTTTCAAATCCCCGTAAAGCTGTTTCGGGAACTCTGCTGTACTTTGTCGCAGAGATAAAATGGGGAAACTGAGCCTTTTGGGGTGATACTTTGGGTTTGAAGACTCTTTGCAAAACTAACTAAACACCACTGGGCAGTTATTTATTTATTTTTCTATTCTTAATAGATTTCTTTATGGAAAAGAGGGGGAGGGGAGAACAAGACGTGTTTACAGGATAAATAAATCACAGTCTAGACACCTAGCAAAATTCCAGGGAAAAAAAAGGCCAAGGGGTTAGAAAGGTTTGTGCTCAAACATACAAATAAGGGTTTTCATAAATGTATGGCCTTAGGGGAGAGGAAGGGGAAATGCAGAACGGAGCCATTGTGGAAAGTGCTTGCTAGGGTCAAATGGATAATTTAAAGAAGTTACAGTTGCAAACAAAGCCCATTGACACAAAACAAAGCCAGTTAATATACAAACTCTGGCAGGTGTGAAAATCCCATGCTGTGTGAATGGGATGTCTTTCATCAGTTAAGGAAGCCTGTCTTCTAACAATGAGCTGTCTATAATGTGCACTTTGAAACTTGGGTGGCTTACATCTGGCCAAGTCTCACTCTGGAATACATTGAGACAAGGCTAATGCCTTTTCCAAAATATCAGCAGAGAACTTTAGCTTCACTTCACATTCCCGAAGAGGCACAACTTTAAAATAGATTGGGGGGGATGTCTACAGAGTTCACACTACACCTCGCTGGTCAGACCAGGAAAGGAAGCCATCGGGTCCAGTTACACCCCCCCCGCCTCCCAGCCATACCGAATAAGGCTAGATGACCTTTGGCGTTCTAAGTATGGACCGGCCATGTGTGGGATTCGCATCCATGTTTTGGCTGCATGGAACAGATCTGAGAAAGCACAGGGGGAAGTTCTGGCCCCAGAGCTGATCAGTGATCAGTATATACTGGGGGATGGGGACCCACAATGATAATGCTACGTCAAAATTAGGAAACATTTCTTTTTTAAAAAATTACAAATCCCATCATCCCCCACCAGCAAAAAAATATTTCCCGTTTAGACTTTTTGGGAATGAACCGCACGTGAAATATACCTTTCACACTACGAGTCCCAGGAGGCCTCCCAACAGCACAGTCAGAGTGGTCAGTGGATTATGGAAGTCGTAGTCCAAGCAGGAAATACCCAGTCTCTGTGCAGAAAAACGTGGTGACGCCTCAACACAGCTTCAAAGCACAATTATCCTGAGTGCAACTAATGGCTCATATGACTAATCGCAGGGAACTAACGATGAATGAGTGCTGATTAGACACAACCTGTTCCCTTGACTGCTGATTCTTAGGCAGCCTTATTTGAAAACAAAAAACTTCTTTCCCATCCCCCAAAACTTTTGGGGGCCTGGCTTCCCACCCTCTCCCTCCCTTCCTCCCTCCCTTAAGTGGAATTTTTCACAGAGTACTATAAAAGCCAAGTAATCCCATCCTTGGTGCATCCCTAGCAGCTGGAAAGCTAGTTCCGGTTTTCCTTGACATGCTGGCTTTCTGCAAGCAGGGATTTTTTTTTTTTTGCACAAGTTTTATTCCGGGTTTCAACAAGTAGGATCATTCAAGCAAGTGGCCTTCCCCATGTCACGTGAGGGAGTGTTAATTCAACCAGGAGAGCATCAAGTCCCTTTTTCTATGTGTTTTGCATAAAGAGTGCTCATGATTGCTAAGCTACTTAGAGGGTTAAGAATTGAATGGCCTGTTTCAGCGTCCATAATCCCCAGGATACAAGCATGCAGGAAGGTGTCTCCGTTTGTTTAACTGGATATTTATACCACTTTTTTGGACAACGAGTTCTCCAAGGCGTTTAAACAAAAAACAGGCAGTTTAGACCAAGAAAGCGCCCGCTCCTTATCTCAGCACAAGAAGCGTTTCCCTTAATGGTCCGGCCCCCAGTTTTTTCCGCCCTGTCTCTGAATAATCTTTGCAAAATATGCCTGTTTTATTATTCTTTTATTGCATTGATAAATCCTCACCCCACTCCATGATATAGGAACAAGAACTCTGCACATGTTCAGAAGTGCACCCTTATTATAACGGGGCTCTAATTATAACTTTGCATGCAAAAGAGATTATGGAAACGCTACCCCCTGAAATGGACCAGAGGAAGGATAGTTTTACTGGGCAATTCACCGGACAGCGGGTGTTTTAACTTAATGTTTTAAAAATCAAAGTATTAAAAAAACTGTAGCTGGCAAGTGCCAGCTTAGAAGAGGGATTCTCCATTTCTGAAAACGGGGAAAACACACAGGAGCAACACTAAAAAATGTTATTTTTCTCCCTTTCATGTTTTTGGTTGATTGATGTGTGTTTTTCCCCTCTCAGAAGCAAATGCAATTTTTGGGAAAACAGGGAGGACCCAATAAGCTCCTGGCTCATTCACCCCAGCATGGTCTACTCCAGAGTAGAGCAGGGGTGGCCCTCTCTATGCTTGCAGGGCATACCCCCCCATCACTGAATGCCACTTCTTCGATCCGTCTCCCAAACCTGGTGCCAGCCGCCGAGCTCTGAACAACACCTCCAGGCCTCTCGCCAACAGCCCTACCAGCTAGGGGACGATGGGCGCTGGAGTCCTAACTGGTGAGGAGAGGGTCCCAGCTTGGGGAAGCTGCTGTGTACAGCCGCAGAAGCACAGGCACCAGATGTCCTAACCACTGAGTTGGGGCAATATCTGCCTTTTCTCCCACTTAAATACACCCCCGGGGGGGGTTGATCGCCAGTGGCGACAGCTGCTGATTTCCCAGGCGAGCTGCCAAGCCGCTCAAGATTCCGGCCAAACTCTGGTACCAATGGACATGGCGTTTGAAGCACGTTTCTCGCCCTTTGGACATGCAGCCAGCAAATCTACAGAATCCCCCCCCTCTGTTATTTCTCCTTAACCTCCCAAATTTGGGAAGGGAGGGGAGATAGAGCCCCAAAACAAAAGAGACAGGAGGAAAAGGGGTTTCCAAGGTGATGGAAGAGTCAGGCCAGCTTCCTGGCGAGAAGGCCCCCAGAACGAAGCAAGGCACCAGATAACACAGAGAGCTGAGCCCACAAGGGAGCAACGGGTGGCATCTCTTTTTCCATCCTGGTTTGGGGGGGGGGAGGGCGGAAAAAGACAGGCAGGCAGGAAAACCCCAACAAGCAATACTCCATCCACCCTGGCTGGTTTCCTATGGGCTTTCTCAGTGGGGAAAAAAAACAAAGCACACACCGAAAAACACAAGTCCGGCTGCACCGAAGGAAAAGCTTTGTTTGCTTGCTGGCCTGCTTTTCCTCGGGTGGCCTCGAATGAATGGGAGGAGAATCCAGCCCAGGAGAGAGAGAGGGAGACAGAAAAGCAAAGGAGTTGGGAGTCTGAATCCCAAAGCAGAGGGAGGATGATTTTTTGCAAGAGGGAGGAGCAATCCTCCAGAAATGAGACTCAACACTTACCTCTCAGGGCTCGATCGGAGGAAGGCACAAAAGGCACTCCGAAGGAATGGAGTCTCTCTCTTTCTCTCTCTTTCTCAGTCCAGCCGGGCTTCCCTGCATGGCATCGCCCGGGCTATTTTTACCCCTCTATATACTGCTGTCAGAGGGGGACGCAGGGCATGCCGGGAGAAAAAATTGGGGGGGGGCAGTGGTGGCTGTGGGGATGGTTGTGGGGCAGGGAAGGACACTCCAGTCGTGCTGGGCATGGCGAAGTGAGGGCAGGATCTGAGGAAGGGAAGGAGGGAGGGAAGGAAAAGAGGGATGGTTGGCAGAGGGAAACGTGGAAGGAGGGAGGAAACCAACCTGCCAGAAAGCCCTTCCGAAAAACAGGCAGGTGTTCCCGGCTTTTTGGGTCCAGAACCCTGCCTTTTTGTCAAGGAATGACCACCAGTTTTTTTTTAATGAAATTGCATTTTCACTTGAAGAGGGACTGCAAACGGGGGCCGTGAGAGGCAAGGCGGCCTTCTTTGGACTTGCTTTTTGACAGCCGGGGGCGAGCAAAGGGGCTCTCCGGCGCGCCTTAAGGACTACAAGGCCCATCAGCCACTACCTGCGGCGGTTTTAAGGAGCATGGGAATCGTGGCTCGGCCCACCCCTGTTTTGACAGACCCAAGTCCTCCCGGCGGCGTGAACCAGCCCAGATGGATCGCTGGCAGGTCAAGATTCTCTTGTGGGGGTTTTAAGAGGTAGGTCTGCTCCTGAGTAAACCTGCCAGCCTGGGCATTAAAGGAGCCGGCCTGGGGTGCTCCTGACACATGTGGAAGCATCTGCCCAATGGATGTGCTGCTTTGGGTTTTTTTTTTTTACATGGGTATGATCAGTCCACAGATCATGGTGGAGCAACACCCTTGATCCCTGGTTTCTAGCAATGACTATGGAGACCTGAGATTTTTCACCCCTCTCCTTGACCCCTTTAGTTCCTGTTTTTGGCCCAGAAAAGAGGAAACGGGGCCGTGTCCAAGCAATGCTCTGGGGAAATATAATATCTATCAGGAGTGCTTGGCCATGATCTGTGTCACTGCGGCCTCCTCGCCTGTTCTTCCATCGGGGATTCTTAGGCTTGGACTGAAAAGATTGTCCCAAGGGGAATGTAGTGTAGACTCCGAAGGAGAAATCAAGGACACATCAGATGCCCAGCCAAGGAAAGGGAAATGGCTCCAAAATCCCCAAATTTTTTCCCTTGTTTTTAATCCAAATGTGGTTGCTATTAGGTGCTGTCCTTACGGCGAACGGATGAATTTCATGATTTTCAGAAGATGCGGTCGTTAGCAACCTTGCTGAGGTCTTGCAAACGTAAACCTGTGTTTTCCTTTATTGAATCAATCCATCTCACGTCACAACCTTCCTCTTTTCCTACTGGCTCTTTCCCCAACTTATTTTCTTTCCCAACGAGTCTTACCTGCTGATGACACATCCAAACCTTAGCAGGCTCGTTTTTTTTTCCGTTTTCATTCCTACTGGGAGTGAATGAGTGTACTCAAATTCATCTGCAGCTGTGCTGGTATTGGAATTGCCATGTTACCCAGTGCTTCTGCTTCAAGTCAACACAGGAGCTGTGTGGTTTGTCTAAACAGACGCGAACCGCTCTGGGTTAGCCGGCGACGGGGCTCAGCAATCGAACTGCACAACGCCCAGTCCTCTGTTGGAGAGGATCCTCTAGTACGGGGTTGGCCACTTCGCAAGTAAGGAATGCTACAAGGTGCGAAGACCGCAGCAGGAGAGGGGGTGCCGGAGCATCGAAGGAGCTCCCTCTGAAAATCCCGCTTTAAAACGAGGTGCATGAAGGGCGCAAGACCTGTTTACAGACTGAGACATGTGAGAAACAGCCAGTAAACTGAGCTTTTTCTTTCTTTCTTTCTTTTTTTTTAAATGTCACCGGTAATTTCATTTCCAGAACTGGCTTCCTCAAAATTCCAGGACTTTGTTTGTGCAAGGGAGGAGGGGGGGAAAAAGCTCCCTAGGAAATAAAAAAGGAAAACCCCACTTAATGGAAACTTTCTTGGCAAATAACGCTGCCTGGAAAGTGGCTTTCCTAGTGTTTTGTTATTTTTAATGACTGCCTATTGTTATTGTACATCGCATCTGATTTCTGCATGAGTTTTCTCTTCCTTAAAATTATTAGATAACCTATTTTAAAAAAATTTGCCCATGTTGCGATCTGTTCTGCAAGCTATCCAAGTAACGCCTATTTCGATGAGCCATGAATATTTCACAAATCAACACATTCATACAAAGTCAGGGTTGTGTTTTCCCCCTCTGACTGTGTCCTTAAAGATGCCACAAGGAAACAGCGCTCTGGACGTTCCCAGAGGCCCCATTTGCCTGGCACCCTGTGAAATTCACCTGTGGTTTTGCCATGGGCCATATCCCCCCCCCCCCCGGGGGTCCCGACAAAACCCCAAGCCACCGACGGGCACCCTCTGCACATGCTCAGGGACTCTGTTTTCCAGCAGATTTTGGCCTCACTTCTGCAGTGGCTTCGTCAGGGTGCACAGCCGAGCCCTGAGGGAGCCATGCCTCGTGTCCAGGGTGGAGGAGGGAACTCTTAACGCTCTGTCGTGCTCACAGAACTCTGCACGTTCCCAGGAGCATGCTCTACTCAGTGGTCAATCTTCATTCACCCTCAAAGCTGCATGAGAGACTGAGCGGTGACCGCCTTAGTGTTTTACTACGAGTCTTCAGCTCTTGGTAAGAGAGCCTCAAGGAGCACTCTGTGCATGCTCAGAGGAGGAAAGACATTGTGTTCCCTCTCTGCCCTCTCGCTGGCTGAAAAAGAAATGGATTTTCTCAGTCTAACTACAGCACGTCATCCCTGTTGCTGTCCGACTGCCTGCAAAGGGGGTGGTGGTGCCGTCCAGAACAACCTGGGAGGGAGAGATGGACGGGAAGAAAGGGGTGCCTAGAGGCCGCAAGGCGGCTGGCTGCGGGATGGCGTAGGGCCCTTGCCTTTAAATCTAGTGTTTTTCTCCCTTGCAATTCTTCTTTAATGCCATCGGGTCGGTTGTGACGTGAATTAAGATCCCTTTGCTCTAAGCGAAGGGCCAGATTTTACATTAATTTTTTAAAAATTAAGTAACAATTAAACCTGGAGGAGTGGCTCATGGCCAAACAAAGTTATCAGTTAAAAAAAGCAAAAATCTGGGGTTGGGAGTTCGATCCCCCCCACAGGGCCTCCTTGATGATCCAGAGGGTCTGCAGTTCAAAGATGATGATGATGTGTATAATAACCTATGTGTGTGGTGTGTATAACAACAAGGCTAACCGGGGGGGGGGGGTTCAGGCAAGCATTCAGTTATTTAAATTTTAATTGATAGCCCTTTTAAAATTGTGGGGGTGTGCCTAGGTAGCCTGATATAATATAAATTGGAATACAGATTTGTAAAAGTTGTCGTTCTTCTCTCAACTGGTTTCTTCAGCATCTGCGAAAGCAGAATTTCTGAACTGGGGTGCGGCCAGCCTTCACTTCCACTCCCATTTAAAATATTCCAGTATGCCCAGTAGGCAGGGACTGGGGACTTTTGTTCCCAAAACCTCTGGAGGGCCAGAGATTCCTCTGCCTTGGCTTTACAATAAAATACGACAGAGCGCTTGTGCGCAAGTGTGTGCCTGCGGCCTCCTTAAAGCAAATTTTTAAAAAATACTTATGCAGACCGAAAGAGGAGGGCTTGCTCTCAAGCAGGAAGCGATCTGCTGAAGAATCACGGCGGGATCATCAGAATCCTGTCCCAAAAGGAATTAGAGAACAGGGATGAGAGAAGAGGTACAGTGGGGTCTCTACTTAAGAACTTAATCCGTATTGGAAGGCGGTTCTCAAGTCGAAAAGTTCTTATGTCGAATCTGCATTTCCCATAGGAATGCAGTGAAAACCATTTAATCCGTATCTGCTCTTTTCCGTCCTAGAAACTACAGTGGAACCTCTACTTAAGAACTTGATCCGTATTGGAATGGTGTTCTTAAGTTGAAACGTTCTTAAGTTGAAGCAAAATTTCCCATAGGAATGCATTGAAAACCGATTAATCCGTTCCAGCTGTTTTTTGTCCTTATGTACAGGCACGTTTGTACGCTGAAGCATTAGTTCCATAGGAACTAATGCAAAGCCGGTTAATCCATACTCTACCACTAGGGGGAGAATTTTTTTTTTTTAATCTAAGAGATCTGCCTAAAATGACCTAAGGTTAAAAAAAGGGCAGGAAAGTTTTTTTCCCCGGTTCTTATCTTGGAGCTCCATTCTCAAGTAGAAGCAAAATTTAGTGAACGGAGCTGTTCTTAAGTTGGATTGTTCTTAAGTAGGGACGTTCTTAAGTAGAGGTTCCACTGTAGACGTAGCTTTCCAGAGGTTGTTGGACTACATGTCCCATCACCCTTCACTTTTGGCCATGCTAGCCGGGGATGATGGGAGCTGCAGTCCAAGAACATCAGGGAGAAATGATTTTGAAGGGGGAAAAATTGCTTTCTCTTTCTCACCTCATAAGACTCAGGGAGGGGGTTGGATTGGGGATGATAAACGACTATTTTTAAAAGGTTCGTGGAGAGAAAAAAAAATCAAAGGGTGGTTTTGTTTTGAATGAATTTCCCTGAGATCCTTCTGTTTTCCCCGATAATTTGAGCATGGTCCAAAGGAGGGAAAAATCAGAGGAAAAACTGGGGGCTCCATGCATTAGGGCTGAGCTCTACTTTTAGGATCAAGAAGATTTAGGATGTGGATAAATCAGGGGAGGGACGGCTACATGTCCCATCACCCTTCACTTTTGGCCATGCTAGCCGGGGATGATGGGAGCTGCAGTCCAAGAACATCAGGGAGAAATTATTTTGAAGGGGGAAAATTGCTTTCTCTTTCTCACCTCATAAGACTCAGGGAGGGGGTTGGATTGGGGATGATAAACGACTATTTTTAAAAGGTTCGTGGAGAGAGAAAAAAAAAATCAAAGGGTGGTTTTGTTTTGAATGAATTTCCCTGAGATCCTTCTGTTTTCCCCGATAATTTGAGCATGGTCCAAAGGAGGGAAAAATCAGAGGAAAAACTGGGGGCTCCATGCATTAGGGCTGAGCTCTACTTTTAGGATCAAGAAGATTTAGGATGTGGATAAATCAGGGGAGGGACGGGGCTGAGCTGAACGCTGAGCCAGCTTTCACCCAATTCTGACGCTTTTGGCTTGCTCCCACGAAAACCCCTTGTTCCAAGTCCTGTGCCGTTTATAAATAAACAAACGGACGAATACATATACCTATTTCTAAACATCTGGCACACTCAATAAAATCCATGGCATTTTCCTTTCTTTCTTTTTTTCTTAGTCAATTCAACCTTTATTAAAAGTGGTCTTTCTTTTTTTAAAAACTTAAATTAATCAAACCGATTCATCGATTCAAACGCTGCAGCCTTCAAAACCGAGAAGAATACTTAAATCATAATCAAAGGGGCAATCGTTCTTCCGGTCTAAAAAAAGAGAAGACGTCGGAGGATGCAAAAGAAGAAAACGGGTCACATTCATTTTTGCTTCAAGACAGTCCGTAATGGACTCTGTGCAGAAAGTGCTGGATTATTTTACAGATTTGTAAAATGGGCTGGGGAGGGGTGTTGTTTTTTTTGGGGGGGCGGGTGGAGGCAAACGGTAGAGGGAGGCCCTCGTGTTTATGCCCCATTTTGTAAACTCCGAGGGAAGCAAGGGGTGGATCGGACCTAAAGATGCCGGACGCTTCGGATGACTTGGCGGAGGTGGAGGCACCAATCCTGCAGCTCCAGATGTGCGTCATAGCTGAGACTGGATCCAGACAATTTTTGGGGGGAGTGGAGAGAACATCTCAAGAACGCTAAACCTGGCTGAATCTGGCTCAGCACCTTCTCTTCCACCAGCAGCAATAGAAATCTCTGGTGTGTGTTCCCCGCCCCCACAATGCCCCTACCCTGTTGCTTCAAGGCATTATGGGAAAATACCCAAACCCCAACCCAGCCAGGCACAGTCTAATGGCTGACCCCACGGGTACCCACCACGGAGTGAACAAGGATCGCCTCGTCTGCCGAACCAGCCGAACGCCCGGGAGGTCTCTCTCTTTCAGTTACGACGAAGTTCGTACCACTTTCCGGCCGGTTCCTGCCCAACCAGCGAGCCAGAGGCTTCGGGCACTTGTGCGTCATCTTTTGCCCCCCCCCTCCCTGATTGGGTTTGGGGTTTCTTCCCTACACCTCACCC